AGATGGAAGAAATGACTCGTGACCCCCTCCTGTTCTTTTGCCAGCCCTCTGTGAGCCCTGCTGCAATGTACTGCACTCTAATAACAACAGCTTGGCTAAAAAAATCCCAGGGATTAGCGGGAGAGACGGGAACGTTGAAAATAACAAAAACACCCTCGGCCAAAAAAATGGCCGCAACATCATGAGAAACAACAGAGGACCTGGGCAGAGGCTTACGGAGGAACAAAACATATTTACCAGGCCAAAGAGCGCATCATCATCCTCTTGGTCTTTATCTTTAATCCGACACACAACTCCCCCTTTAGCATACAGTCGCGCACCTACGCACACACACACACACACACACACACAAATTCACCGGGTCTTGAGAACACAACCTCTTTTGTGGCCTATTGTCTATAGAGCATCAAAACAGCTGGCTGCAGAAGTCCTCAGTATCTGATCTGCTTAAGAACGCTCCCGGCTTGTAATAGAGGATAATTACAGTTTTAATTTGCCTTAGCAAAGTGGGCTAAAAGCCCCGTCTCACCCACCGCCCACCCGTGTTTTCCTCAATCCACCCTCTTGCTCCTAGCGGGCGATTGCCACCAGTAACAGATGGGGAAAGGGAGATTTCACAGCCAGGGACATTGGAGCAAAGATTGGGATTTCCACCTCCCCCCCGATAGCCTGAGTGTCCTCCGGCACCGCCTCAAGGGGCTGTATATTGGGATTAGCAATCCGGCCCAGTCCTCACACACTACATGACCTTTCAGCATTTAAGCTCTTTGATCATCTTACAGTGGTGTGCCGGGGAGATTTCTAATAGCATGACCTTTTTATATGTCCACTTTATTTAACTCTTTACATTGCAAGTGACCGATCTTAAGCACTTGAGTCTTCAGTGGATATTCAAAGCAAACATGGGATAATCACTGTCTTAGAAACACAAATCTACATCTGTTATTTTTGGATTCTTCTCTATGTTTTTTGCCTCACTCGCCTTTTTCCTCCGGCTTTCAAAAGGCGCTTGTGACTTTGTGTTTTCAGCAATCTCGTTCTCTCGGGCAAACTCTTCCCATCGGACCAGTGGGAGAACAGCTTGTGTTTAACCGTGACTCATTCCCTTCCTCAAGAGCACAAAACATGGACGTTCCAAAATCCACTAAAAAAAAAAACGATTGTCGTTTGTTAGTTTTCTTCCACTCAGTCTTTCAAAGCCAACATTCAACCTGGTCCGAGAGGGCCGAGTGCTTCACTCGGCCCTCTCTAGATAGCGAAGCAGCATTCCTCCTCTCCTGTAACACGGTGTGCAGCGCGGCATGTTCCTCTGGCCGCTCCCTTGCTCAGAGAAGTGTTGGTCGACCTGCCACGACACGTCTCGTTGTGCCTTGTAATTGCTCGGGGCTGCGGAGCTCCACCATGCCAACGCCTTTTCTGCGCTCCCAACCAACTCTTTCTGCTGGTTGATCTGATGATGACTACCTCGTTGTGTCAGTATTTTTGTCTCTTTTTTTTAGTTTTTGGATTCTCACTTACTCCCCTGATGTTTTTCTTTCCTGCTAATCTGCAGAAGTGTAGTTTCATGTTTTTATGCTCAATATATTTTTATCTGTTTCATAATGAGACAGCTCAAGTGTAATCCCAGAGGGGAGAGTGATTTTAAGTGCAATTTCTTTGCAGCAGGTAAAGGCTTGTAGCGGAATTTGTCGTCCAACTGCTGGTGCTTGTGTAACTTCAGTAGATCCACATGGCATTTGGAGAAAAAAAATACATTGTTGTGCGAAGCCTTTGTGTTAAATTCCCACGGTTGTAAATCAATGCATGATGTTTGGTGTGTAAAGACACCACTGTATAGCTGTTAATATACGAAATGAATGGAGGTACTTTGTATGCACGTGCCATTATTTAGTGCACAATCCTGCAGATAACAAAGCCATGCAAAAGCAGAAAAATGGATGCCGTTAACTCTTCTCCACAAAAGATCACACCAGCGGCTGATGGCTCGTAGCTATTGTCCTCAACTGGCCCCTAAGGGCCACCCCCCCCCCCTGCTGCTTCCCAACCGTGGGTCATCAATTAATCACCTCTAGCGCCTCTTAATTCCATCTCTTCCTCGGAGAGCTTTTAGCCGCCCTCAAACCGCCCCGGGAACAACTGCACAGGTCACGGTGTCCGATGGCGTCCCGGGACGTGGCTTGTGCAGCTTGTGTTTCTGCGTTGGTGTGTTTTGAGTGAGAAAAGACTAATACTGTGTTAACACACAGATCTTAAGCTTGTGTTTGACTCATTAAACCAGATTGCTCTTATCAGTATTAATAGTGGATCCGCTAACACAAGTCAGAACTAAATCAATCTTTGCTTTAATCAAAATAGTTGCTGTTTTTTTAATGGGTGAGTGGTTTGAATGACAACTGCTATTTTCATTCTGTATTTGAAGAGCTAGCTTGAGTTTAAATGATACGTTGATTAATTAACTTACTCAAGCAACAAAATATATTATGAATATTCAACAATAGCTTTAATGTTTCAGGGGGGGGGTTTTACTGACCAAACCTCTTTGGTACCAGCCTGAAATTTGACTATTTCCAGCTTACCTTGTGGCATTGTTAATTTTTCACTAGTTTCGTTTTATAGCTCAAACAGAAGGGGAGTTGTAGCCCTATAATTATATTGTGATCAAGAAAGAAAAATGTTTGAATATAAGCGACCTAATATCTTAAGTAATTGTAAGATAACTATTAGTTTTATAGTGTACCTGTAGTAAACCGTGTTTGCATGCCTTGAGCACACGCCAATAATGTCCCCACGCCAAATTCAGTAAAGCACTGTTGGGTGTCAGACCACTTGTTCCTCGGAGCGCCTTTGTGGGTGTCGAATGTGTCCGTGTGTTTGGATGAGTAGGCGCTCGCACATTTAAGTGTTTGCTTTTAATCTCGTGCTGCCAGCTTGCTTCCAGGAGATTAGAGGATGTTCGAGGCACTGCTGTGGAAATGGTCTGCCTTTCAAACTAAACACACACACAGGCAAAACAAAGTGTCTCTTTGCAATGTTTGCTGTGCTTGTTTACGTCAAGCAAGCGATAAGGCCCTGCAATAGACCACGGCTAATATGATTTTATGAATGAAGGCAAAGGATTAAATAATGAGCCGTGTGGTCATTAGTGTTGATGGAGTTATTTATGGTCTTTTATTGTGGGGACAAATTTGTTGTACTAGATGAGATAATCCGATAAATCTTCTCATGAAAGACATATATATTATACATTATATATATTCGTATAGCTGCTTAGTTGCTCGTAGTGTTGAAGGCCTTGTTTACACTTGCATCATCCGATCATGCCAGGACGCATTAATGGTAAAGTCTTTACACTCCAAGATCGGTTCTTTCTTGCATTGAGATCCGATTAGCAGGACCACATGCCGAGGGGGCTTGGCTCACATTGAGTGAGGATCTCCTGAGATTTGGACAGCATGTGGGCACAATCCGGACAAAGATGGAGCACAGCCGAGTCCTGTTAAGTTGCTGCTAATGACATCCCAACGTTCCCCAATTGTACTGCTTCAAAATAAAAGCTTTTAAATAACAAAATAGCCAAAGCCTTTAATTGTCAGCTTTTCTTCAATAAATCAAGTCTGTGGGGAGGAAGACTTTTCTAATGGAAGAAACAAAATGAACAAAGAGTTTCTAGGAATTGTTTTATGTTTATTCACCAATACATTGCCGCTCCTTTGTCCGCATAATATATCCGATCGCTATCGGATTGGCTGGTTTCTTTGAGTGGGGACACAATGCCGACCCAGCTGACTTCCAATCACGAAAGTCCCATTGAAAAGGAAACCGTAGCCGTGGCCTTTAGTATCGGAAACATTTCCACCGAAGTCTTTGCATAACCACATCAGAGTAATACAATTGGCATGTCTGTGGGCCGTTCTCTAAGATCCGAATTACTGGACATTAAGCTTTCACGTCTCACTTCACACAGGTGTTATGTCAGTCCGGCTAGATTTAGATGCTCTAATCGCTCCAGCTTGCAGGTCGAAGTGTTTGGGTAGGTAGGTGTGTGTGGACAGTGTTTGGAGCTGAGGGAGTGCAGCATACATTTTGATAATACGTGCTGCACTCTGTCACGCGCGACACAAAGAGCTGGCGTGATGCAGCAACATCATCGATGACGCGTGGGAGGGTGGATCAAAGCTCAATTGTCTTTAGGTTTTCATGCCTCATACTGTGACTGGCCTAGAGCCTCGTGTCTGTCATTAGAGTGAAGGGAATGAAGCTCCTGTCCCACCGCCGGACGAATAGACCCTGAATTGGGATGAAGACACTTTAGTGAGCAGCATATAATGGAGAGAAATTGGATCTACTTCAAGCGCCGTGTGGCATTTCTACCCACTGATGGGGCTTCAGGTGTTTTCTGCATGGCGCAACATGGCTGTCTCCACCTTAGCTTGCCGTGTTGACACAGTGCTTCTCTCGTGCCGGTGTCAAATGCGGCCGAGTTTCAAGTAGCAATACTTCGAAGTTTTAATTACGAGCTTAACTTGACAGTGTTTCTCTGCTGTGAAGAAGGCCTTGACCCGGTGGCACAGACCAGCAGGCAGATTATATCGGCATGATGATAGAATTATTGTAATGGTGAAATCCTCATGGTTGTCTGTTAGACCGTGACAGAGCCTGTCGGAACAAGCATTGATGGCGATTCGTAAATATTAGCACATTATTTGTCAGAGAACCAGGCCACATGTGAGACAAATAGTCCTTGTTCCCCCAGCAGGCCTCTAAAGCATTTACACCCCGACTTAAATTGTCTCACATCCTGTGTGGCAGTTTCCAGCGCTACTTAGTTTACCTGCATGTTTCAATTACCTTGTGACCTCTTAATTAAATAATACATAATAATTAAAATGTGCTTCGGGATTGTGCTGCTGCTGGGTGATCATAACTCCAGCCTGTCCGGAGACTTTGAGCTCTCTCATAAGCCGGCTCATTCCTGTTCTCGTTCTCGTGGGTCCTGTTAGGCTGTGCGCGGCCCCCTGGCGTCCAGCACGGAGACTTGCTGAACCAGACCGAGGCTAACCGTGGCTCCTTTCCCCCGGGCACCCTGCTGACTTATGGCTGCGAGTCTGGCTACACCGCAGATGGAACCACCAGCATCATTTGTACCAGCTCCGGGGCCTGGTCCCATCAACCCCCACGCTGCATCAGGATCAGCGGTGAGTCAGTCTGAGAGACGCAGCCACATGGTACAAAGCTTCCAACAACCTCATTTTGTATACTTTCTGTTTCTCAATGCATTATTAATCCATTATTATGGTCTGTTTTGCAGTTTTTTAAAAGATCATTATTTGCCAAGTGTCCTCGCATGCAGGCCTAATTCGTCGGCGTGTCGAAAACATTTATTTTAAGTAGAATAATTAATTAGCATTGCTTTTTTCTATTGAAAAATGTCAAGGTTAAGTTCATAGAATGATGGACAAAAATACTGAAATGCGGCGTCAGTTCAATGTCTCATCGTATTATCGTTGCACCAGTAGCGAGGATCGTCCTTGAGATTTAGCAGGGAACGCTGGGATGCCTCGTGCAATTTGAGCATTGAAACCGCAGGAACCAAACCTCACCGCGGGTAGAAATAACGCGGGCTCATTCAACCCTCTACTGCCTCGTCTCTCCTCAGTGTGTTCACCCCCCACTGAGCCGGAGAACGGCGGCTACCGCTGTCACCCGTCTCCCTGCCCCAGCCTCACCCAGAAGACCGTCATCGAGTACTTCTGCGACGAGGGTTACGCTCTGAAGGGAGACTACAAGTTCCTCACCTGCCAGAATGGCGAGTGGGACGGCCCCATGCAGATCAGCTGCCGACTCACGCAAGGTCAGACCCCCCGGCTGGCTTTCACCTTTAGCGGATCACGTATGCCCACGAATGCAAAGCGTCATGCAGGAAATGGAAAGTTAAGACACGTGAACACGCTTTTCACTTCCTCCCTGTGTCTTCCTGTGGCGGTCAGACAAGGAGCCGAGCTCTCCGCTGGGTATACCCGCTCTGTCCATCGTGGCGTCCACAGCCAGTTCTGTGGCCCTCATCCTGCTGTTGGTGGTGCTGTTTGTTCTTGTGCAGCCAAAGCTCAAGTCATTCCATCACAACAGGTAAGACACACACAAACACACACTGGTATCACTGGGTTCTCACCCCCAATATTTAGCAAGCATCCCCATATATGTATCAAGACTGTCAAGTTTTGTTAGAATATCATGCATTCATTTTAGAATTTAAGCCTGATATGATAACTGTGGACCCATTTGCGGTTTTGAGTGCTTAGTTCTGTCATGTCACTTTTTGATTTGTAGCCATGCCAAATCCTATTTATAGTCACACTAACGTCATGTTTAGCATGGCTTTACATAACTGTTTACTTACACTTGTGTTCCTGCAGTTTCTGCATAAAATACAGGTATTAAAAGGCCCACTTAGACCACTGCTTTGTGTAATATAGAACCGTCTTCGGAGAATGAGACAGATGAAAGAAATGGTGGACGATATCCTGCCTCTTTATTCTTCTTCCTTCAAATGTCCTTCACTTGACTCCATTTTGAATCATTTCGTAGGGTAGCTGACACGTGACATAAATACAATATTATGTTAATGACAAAATAACCCCTTCGTTCTTTGCCGTAGATTGATTGCCCCGTTTGACCTTGAGCCATCAACGCAAATTTAGCTTTCTGTGCATTTTTCTATCCCACTCACCGGACTGAGGAGGGGGATAATATTGAAACAGATGTTTTGTTTGTTGCCAGAAATGCTTGAGATCCGTGTTTGTCTTTACTCAGAACAGTTTCTGGTGTAAAACCACCTCACAGTACTTAACAAAGTGATACAGCAGGTTAAGACTTTCACTCCTTCTGTGGACACACCTGTTGTTCAGCTGTGGGCGAAACTAGTGACATAAAATGCCTGGCAACGGGTTATACAAGTTAGCATTTCTTAAATACTTGAGAAATGACGCAGGAGGAGTTTATCCCATTACCGTCGGTAACCGCCTCGGTGATTTAAAAAAATGGATTAAAATAAACGATGACTAGTCTAATGCTCATTGGCAATCCTGCTGATTGTGTTGTGGGCTGCGTAGCTCAGCGGTGACGCGCGTGGACCAAATCGGGCTGAGCCTGCCGTCGTGGTCCACCTGTCTCACACCTTCTCTCCGTCTCTCTCGGACCAATCAGGAGGGAGCAGGGGGTCTCGGGCCAGTCCAGCTCCATCATGGTGGAGGGCGTCCAGGTGGCGCTGCCCTCTTACGAAGAAGCCGTGTACGGAAGCGGCGGACCCGGTGACGATTCGGGTGTTCCTCCTTCTCCTTCTCCTCCTCCTCCTCCAGCTCCCCCGGAGACCCGCGTACCGATCGTGCTCTCTGAGGGTCTCCCTCAGGGCGCCTCGGGGGGCCAAAGCGCCAGCAGAGCCCGCCTCAGCAGAGACTTGGACTTCTGTCTCCCGTCCACGTCCTCCTTGACGTCCTTCTCCTCCCGCCGTCACGCAGAGACGGTGCTAGATCATCAGGCCCCCTGTTCTTCCTCCTCCTCATCATCATCGTGGGCTCGAGAGCACCCCGGGGGTGCATGCGCAGGCCCCCTTCCTCTCCGTAGAGACTCCGGGAGCAGCGACCAGCACAGTGTGCTTTCCATCACCTCTACAGATGACTTTTCTGATGGTGAGAGAAAACGTGTATTGCACACGATGTCTTTGTTACAAAGAGAAAGACAGATACCAATATTACTATTTGACAAATCAGCAGTATTTTCTTTCTACACAAATACAAAATGTACACCATATTGGGACAGATTCTTTAACATAATTATTACCAAACTGTTCTAAACAGAAGTATTATCTTAGGAAAAAAGGTTGAAATATAAACAATGTTCCTGCTTCCAAATGCAGTTTGCAAATATCTGACGATTCACACAATACTTAAAGTAAGCAGCCTTTCAGAGTGGTTTCATTGGTTGACATAATCAATACATTTTCAATTGAAATGCATTCCCAGCGTTATTTACTGTGTGGAGTCGGGAGTTGCTTTAGAGACATTCAGACTACCTTTCGGTATTTGCAATATTGTTACAAATTGTGAACGTGCTTAATACTCATCGACTAAGATCTCAATCGGAGGATGTGACGCCTACGCGGCCGTGTGTTGGTTGGACAGCTGATGACCCGTGTGTCCGCTTCTCCCTGCAGATATTCCCCTGCTGAAGGAAGCATGAAGCGTCCCAGCCTGCAATCGACATCCGACGGCGGAGGCCTATTTTCTCCATCTCCCAAACGCTGACCAGGACTGACTGATGCTGTCCACAATCTGACCCCCCCTCCCCATTCCCACTCAGCCGCCAGCAGAGAAAAGACTTGAACTATTCCCTTCATCACCCATGCAACCTCTCCTACCATTACTGCCCGCGCAGAGCAAAGCCAACAACCGACACCAGCGGATGAAAAGACTGAGACGATCTGGACAAACATAAGTGGTGCCAGCTCAACATAAACCCTGTAGATCCGATGTATATGTGCAACGTGCATACCGAGTCACAGATGTGTACTTTAGGCCATGTCAGCGGCCTACCGTGGCCTCCTCCCAGGTGCAGGTCTCTAGGAAAACATTGCTCGAGGAGGCTTCATCGGAGGAGGCCACAGCGACCGAGACAGGTCAAACAACAGAAGCTAAAAACGAATAATGAACAACCCGCTCCCGACGCCGCGGCGCTCAGAATCGTCTTCCCGCTGTACTTGAAAACTTGTGAGTGACGGCTGGGTGCTTGGTGAATGCTGCATGTTTTTTTTTTTTGTTATTGCTGCACGGTGGCACTCTAAGAAGCATGAAGCCTCCTCTGCCCCCGTCCCCCCCTCTCTCTTTCTCTCCCTCTCGCTCTCTCTGTCTCTCTGTCGTTCTCTCTGCGTTTCTCTCTCCAGCTTTCGGAGCATCAGGGCGGCGTCCCGCATTTGGATCGGTGGGATTGAGAAGCACTTCCCGGGAGCTAAAAGCAGGGTACAGCGATTTACCAAGTACCATATCGCAACGGAGAGGAGACCCCCTCCACCCCTTTCTGTTGCCGGCGGTCTGGAAGGGGCTCCTCCTGTTGCGTGAGTGGGGTTGATTGGTGCTTTGGTTCCCGGGCCGCGCTGTGCATCTTACTTGAACGAGGAGGAGGAGACGTCATTTCACATTGGGTCTGAAAGCCGAGGAGACGCTCCTCTTTCAATGTGCCGAGTGGGCTTTACTCTAGGGTTGTGCGTGTCGAGTGTTCTTCCCTGTATTTATTGGTGTGTTGCTGGGTTTGCTTTGAGTTGCTGTGTGTGCGTGTGCGTGCGTGCGTGCGTCATTGTGGTTCAGCCAGGCAGGAGAGGACATGTCCTCATATTGGAGGCCTCGATAGAGCCGCTTCCTGAATTTGCCGCTCTTCAGAGCAGACACTTCACAATTTCCCCTGTCTTTCACCAAAGGAAAATGTCCCTCCCTGCAATGACCAGCGTCACTTCAGGCAACAACTCGTCTACACAATGTGTGTATTATTCATCTGCTCTCAAGCTAGAATATTTACCATTTTCTGCTGAACGGCTGGAAAAAGCAAAGTCCCTTTAGAAGAACCGGCTCCCGTCCACCTCCCCACCGGACAGAAGACTCTACACTTTAGTGCGTTATGGGCACAACTGCAACTGGTTGCAGTGAAAGGCTTTGGTGTTGTTTCATAGCGCTGCAGCCCCTTCCCCCCTCCCCCCACCCGCCACGTACACTCGCTCACCCTCCTCACGCCAAGTGCAAATTTGAGAGAGAATCGTGACATGTTGTCTCTGTTTTTCATCTCCAGTTGAGAAGCTTTGGTAGTTGAGCTGGTAACCCTGGAAAAGGCATGGCTCCGAAGTCCTGTATCCGAGAACTTCAGCAAAAACCCAACCCAGAACAACGTTCACCTTTTATTCTGATTTGATTTGGCAATTGTGGTTGTCTGTCATTGTCTGCTCCGTTATTAATGCAAACAGAATGTTGCCTTAGAGTTGTACATTTTCTTTTTTTTTGTATAAACTTAAGCCTCCTTGTTGGTTGCTTTACGATATTGCAACAGATTCTGTTTTCCCAATGGCCTTAATCTGTTCTTTTCTATTCTATGCATACAACTGTCTTTGTGTATTTATCAGTTTACTTTAGTTGTGGACACGACTAAACGAATGTCCATTCTTCTCTGTCCTCCCTTAGCTTTTACAGCTACTGTGATGGTGATGATGAACCTATAAGCACCTATATTTCAATATTCTGTTGCTACTACTTTGCTTCAAGGCATCACAATATTATGGGATTGAAAAGAAAAGAAACTTAATTAACTTTGCATTCAGAAGCACTGTTGTACGGTGTTGCGTCCCTGAAAATTACAGGTAAAAAAGTACACATCTTGATTCTTGGTTTCAAATGCTTTCAGCATTACGTTTTTTTCTCTCTGTACATGGCAGTGGGTGTGAAGATAGTAATTTAATATTTGTATAAAGTTTAATTTAATTTTACAGTGTGTGTACATAACTTTCTAATTAAAGCTTTCTTTTGAATGTGGAAGATGACGTGTCATTTATTCAAGCCAATGTCAGGATATTGTCCTATGCTGAGTCACTTTGGAAAATATGTATGAAATTAACATACGGTAAACATTTTCATGCTGTAAATTAGGTCAGCTGTCAAGACGTTTCGAGTACTTTTCATCCATCGTTTAAAAAATCCTGAAACATTCGAACCTCTGCACATGACAATTCTGCTTCTGTTCAATTCCAGCTTGAATGAACACACGAACCTTGTTCCTGGCACTGCACAGCCGGCAATAAAAATAACTCAAAAGCTATTCCTGGTCAGCGTCTATAGGCATGCGGTGCGACATTAATCACATTGCACCCATGATACCTTTACCAACTATATATGCCGAGTAGGGTGGTACTCATCCGGTCCATCAATTCAAAACCCACCTTTTACCATTCTGAGGGGAAGTTTACTTGGTCCGTTGTGGTGGCAGTTTAATTTATTTTTTATGACTGATCCTCAGCTGCTTCCTGGAATATGCCTCTGTGTTTTATTTGACTGCGTAATTACCTGTCTGTGAAGCTTTAAAGCCACAGCACATTTGAAATGACTTCCTCTAAACAATTATGTATGATGGAAATGTTTTACTGGCAGAACTTCTAGTTTCTTTTTTATTTGTCCTACTGTTCTGTGATCCATTCTCCCTCCCTATATAACATTACGGTGTATGAGCGACACCTAGTGGTCAGATTTTGAAACTACACCATTGGTAACGTCATGTTCTTGTTCTGCAGCGTAACACGAAATGTTATCTCCCTTTTTAGCAAAAGTGTACTATACGTGTACTTGTATTCGGGTAAAATGTAAATGATATAATGGATACAATCATATTTTTTACGATAAATGAAAATCCAACCGTTTCGATCCACTGCGCCATCCAGGACGTGTTTTAGTCCTGGACGGATGAATACGTTTTCATTGGGTTTGGAACTGTGAAAAGGTGAGAGACCAACAACATGTCTGGGAATATATATTCCTTAACATTTAACCCAAAGTCTAATAGACAGCATCCACCCAAGGAAGATATTAAATTCAATAATTGTCCAAAACTCGTTGTAAACGATGACTTACTCTACTACGTTCTACAACGGTAAACATGGAGCCCTTTATAGTGTGATCGATGTGGTGAGTGACAAATTTATTTTGCACTTAACCTTAATATTTCAACTGCTTTTTTATTATTTTCTTCATGCCTCATTTTAATGCTGGACACTAACTCTCTCCCTGACATTTCTCTGGATGAGAACACGTTTGTTATCGGAAGACATAATAAATATATGCCGTTCAAGGTCATTTTTGTTATGAATCGTTCAGAATCATCCATTTCACCTAAAGATATGAAGATAAAAAAATCAGCGTAGAGTTCGCTAACAACCACATGGTGGCGGTAATCTCTCCCGAGCAGAAGAAGACGCAAATGAAGAAGAAAAATACGTAGAAGGAGAAGAAGAACGAGGAGGACCATCCTACGTTTACGCCCCCCTCCGTGAACAGCAGAGGATCCATTTTGTTTGATTATTTTTGCGGGTCACTCTCTACATCCTGCAAGGAAAACATCACCACCAGCACCACCTCAAACGTACGTGTTTCCCATTCTAAAAAAACCCAATGTCGTTTCTGTTAAACATGAACATTATCCGCCGCGTGAGCGAGCCGTTAGTTCAAAGCAGCGAGCCGTGCAGCGTCTTGGGTCTCGAGGCCCCGCAGGTTGTTGAGGCCAGCAAGACACAATTTGACACAACAGCGACACAACAATGACACGGGTGTCACGTCCCCCGAAAAACTACTGAATGTCCTCAACGCGTGTCTCTGCCGTGTGTCTCTCATCTCCGTGCCGGCTGACGTCACGCCCGTCAGAGCTATTCATCGAGGGTGCCGTTGCGTCTTGTTCGCAGGTAGCGCCGCCTCCTCCTCCTCCTCCTGCTCCTCCTCCTCCTCCTCCTGCTGCTGCTGCTGCTGCTGCTCCCCCAAGACGACATCAACAATGAGCGGATGTCGTATTTTCATCGGCCGGCTGAGTCCCTCTGCCAGAGAGAAGGACGTGGAGAGATTCTTCAAAGGATACGGCCGCATCCGAGACATCGACCTCAAGAGAGGCTTCGGCTTTGTGGTGAGTCCTCGGTGGGGGGGTGAGTGGGGGGGTCCAAATGGGTCCTGTTCCATTTACTTGCAATATCTCTGGTCTTCTCGGTGAGACGGATGCTGTTGTGCCACAATAAGACGCCCTAAAGGTGACGCGTGATCGTTTGCGGAGCAGAAGGGTCAAGACGTGCTGTTGTGTTGTAGGAGTTTGAGGACCCCAGAGACGCTGAAGATGCTGTTTATGAGCTCGATGGCAAAGAGCTGTGCAGTGAAAGGTAGGACTGTTTTAACGGTTTCCACGGAAATCAGGTTTACCTCTAAAAAAGGAACCCAAACGGGGGGAAAAAGCATTTCCTGTTATTTCAGGGTCACTATTGAGCACGCCCGCGTCCGTCTGCGCGGCGGCCGTGGCAGAGGCGCTGGAGTCGGGGGTGGAGGCGGAGGCGGAGGTGCAGGAGGACGTTTCCCTGATCGCTTTGGCCGCGGCTCCCAGAACAGTCGGAGGTAAAGTTCTTAGGCCACCCGTGTTTTCGCATGTTTTCATGACGTCATTCTAGGATGCACCGTGTGTGGGAAAATGTTAACGAACGTGTTTTTATTTTCCATATCTATTTTCATTTTAAAGTTTTTTAATTTGTTTTGATTTTTGCAGCAGATGTTTAGAAGTGCTCTTGTCCACGCTTCACTTTTTGGGTTCGGTGAAGCAGTTTCATTTAGGATTCCATGAATTAACTACACGCTGAAACTGTCTTGCATCTTTTGTTTTAAGTGAAGTTTTGCTATTGATGAGCAGCCATTGAAAGCTTGATTTTCCCGCTTGCAGCCGAAATCCTCCTCCGATGCGCACTGAGAACCGCCTGATCGTAGAGAATTTGTCCTCTCGAGTCAGCTGGCAGGTTAGTATTGCAACATATTCATAATTAGCGAGTCTCTACAATCTGCTACACCACACATGTTATGGCCTCCAACAATACACACGTACAATTGTAGATTGTCATGCTGCTAAATAACTAAATGATAACTTGTTAATGTGTATTAAAAAAACAGCTATTTTATTGTGACGAGGCCTGAATTGTTTTTTTTAAGAATGTGCTCATATTAAATCTCATGCAGCTATGTAATGACTCAATTGACTATAACAACAAGCAAACACTGAATTTGTTCCTTTTTTTCAAAATTTTAACCAATTCTTCACCCCTTTATTTGCCAGCCTGACTGTTGTGTCATATGGAGCTCGCTTATGGTGGAATTTACCCCTTCTGGGTCCTTCTGTCTGGGTTGAGCCTCTGGCGTCAGTCTGTCCTACTCCTAGTTGACGCCTGCTGGTCATGTGAGCGATCGCTCCACACTAGAGGTGCTGCCGGCCCCCCCTTCACTCGCCCGCAACGCCCCCCGTCGAATGCAGGGGGATGACCGGTGTGTGGCTGAGAGCGAGAGAGAGGAAACAGAGAGTTGGCAGAGAAGGAAAGGAGAGGAAAGAGCGAGAGTCGATGGTGGTGCCGTATTGATCGATGGTTCGTTAATTTGAGGGGCTTCGGGTCGATCGATTACCCCCCTCCCTTCCCCCGCACATCGCGAGAGAGAGAGTGCGAGTTCCTCCCAGGTGCCCATGGATAAAATCTGCTGTTATCCCGAGGTTATGGTGGGCTCGGAGAGCCTGCGGCCCACCCCGAGGGGTTTCGCTCTCAGGTAGTAGTTTCCTCTCTTCCACCCTGTTCACTCTCTTTACCGAGGCAGGGTGCCGAGACCGGGTGGTCCCCGGCATGGAGCCCTGTGCCCTCCTTGCCAGGGACAATGGGGCTCTCAGTGCCAAAGGCTGCCCAAGTGGCACCACTGCAGTTCACTTCATGCAGATGGTGTTCATGTCTCTGTAGTTGTGACGAGTCCAAGAATCTCAAAGCTTTTCACAAATACTTCTTTTGTTGTACCTGTAAACAAATGCTAATGCTAAAATGAATTGGCTCATATCCAAATTGGCAAACATTGTATATTTAGTAAGCTGTTGTATTTCTCTGTTTACTTTCTGCAACCCACACACACACTGTTTAATAACTAAACAGCCAACCAGGTTTTTGGACTCCTCCTCCTTATCTGCAGTACCCTGTGTAGTTCTCTCAGAAAATCTAACCATCTCTCTTTTTGGGTAAATTAGTCCTGTAATGTGTCTCTGCCTGTGCTTGTGTCCTGAGCCTCTCCCCTACGTTGACTGATGTTTACATGTGTAGGACCTGAAAGATTTCATGAGACAAGCTGGAGAGGTGACATTTGCAGACGCACATCGGCCCAAGCTCAACGAAGGGTGAGACCATTCGCTCCCTGGTGGCTGTCCTGGGTGGCACATCAGGCTTATGTCTTGTCATTTGAAGAAGTAGACTATTCAATTCATTACAAATAAGCACATGCACGTTGTAATCGAGGTCCCCTCGTGGTGTTTTCAAAGGGTCGTTGAGTTTGCTTCTGGCAGCGATCTGAAAAATGCCATGGACAAATTGTCTGGAAAAGAAATCAATGGCAGGAAAATCAAGCTCATTGAGGCAACCAGGAAGAGGTGAGCTGCTTTCTATCTCATGCACACACACACACACACACACACACACGCGTATGTGATTCCTAATATTAACCTTCTCTTTTATTGTTAGGTCGAGAAGTCGTTCCCGTTCTGACAGCTCCTCTCGCTCCCGGTCCCGCTCTCGTGGTCGCTCGGCGTCTCGCTCCCCAAGGCGTTCCCGGAGCCCCCCCCACAAGCCCCACAACCGCTCCCATTCTCGCTCCCACTCCCGTTCCCGGTCCCGCTCTCGCTCCCACTCCCGGTCCCGGTCCCACTCCCCCAGCAGGTCCCCGGTCGGCGGCTCGTTGTCTCCGGGCTCCAAGTCCAAGGAGGCCGCCAAACGGTTGTCCAAGACGAGCAAATCCGCCACCCCGCCGTCCCCTCCGCCCGCCCAGAGAGCCTCCCGCTCCCGCTCCCGTTCTCGCTCCCCTTCTACCGACAGCCAGCGCTAAGCGCTGCGCTGCCGTTAAATGGAAATCAGCAGCAGAATCAACTTGATTTAAGCCGGATCTGGAACTTCCGTGACCACGCAGACACAAGCTTTTTGTTTCTGTGTGGATTCTCATAATGATCCTGAAGCTTTTCACGTTTTAAAACACACACACATTGTCAGACAGGAACTATTATATTCATTCATATATTTGCTATTATAGGGCGTTAAAGTTAAATACCATGAACGGAAGATATTTGTTCCACGGTCATTTGCCCTGTGTGTGTGTTTACTCCCAGTTCATCCATCGTCTCACAAAAGCTCAAGTGAACCAGCGCCAAGTTTCCCCGTTATTGGCTCCGTAAAGAGGGAATCTGTATTTTTTTTTTGTTGGGCAGAACTACAATGCTTTTGATACGTTGTGTGACCACTTTCTTTTTATCGCAATCTGTTTTGTTTTTTGCTTTGTGCTTCGTTTGCGATCTTTTTATCAATTTCCAAGTTTTGTCTTTTTTTTGTAGTCTCAACAGCGCGTGTGTGCGTGTGCGTGTGTGTGTGTGTGTGTGTGTGTGTACCTGAGGATGCCTGCACGTGGTTTTCGTTTGATCAAACTTTCGAGTTGTACTATTGGCAGTATCAAGAACACTGTACAGATGTGCACAGACAGCACAGTTAAACAGCTGTACAGTAAATCACTGTTAATCTTATTGATTTGACATTTTTTTGTCTTTGACTGTTTAACTTTTATTTTGTTGTAAAATCTTGAATATGAGGTCAACGCATACAAATTATTTAAAAAATGCAGTTTATTCTAGCATTGTAATTACAATTTGTATTTTTTTTGTTTAGATTTGTGTACAGCATTGCTGACTTTTGTTTCTACATAAGTGTATAATGTAATTCCAAGAATGCATGTAGGTACCGTGTCTGTTACTGTGGTTTAAATGAACATGTAGACAAGAGGTAAGGAAATAAATGCAACCTTTTTGTATGTATGGATTTTATTTTCAGTGAAAAATATGGACGTTTCTTATGGTGTAAGGAATACGGTGTATTGAAACAATAAACAATTTTAACTACATCATTACTTAGGCTGCAACAACGAATCGATCAAATTCGATTATTCAAAGCATTGGCAACGAATTTCATTATCGATGCGCGACACGTAAGAGCCCTGAAAGTGTGTCGATGGCATTGTGCGTAATCACCTGTTAACTGTTTGTTTTTTGTGTTGTTGAAGGGAAATACGAGCCAATAGATTGTTCTGTTATTTCTCAAAGGTCACGTGTTCACGAATGGAATCAATGCGTGAACAACGTCAACCAGATTACAGTACCGTAAGTACGCAGGGATCTGGGACTCCCTATTTCCATTCAACATGTGCTTCGCCTGCACCTCCGCCCGCCTACCAGCAGCCAGCCAACACATCGACCTACCAGCCAATGAAGACAGGGGGATTTACGATGCAGGGGCTACTGCCTCATAGAACTACTCGAGTTATGCATCTGAACCTCGACTAGCGGTTTCAGTCACGGTGCACTTTTTCTGGCTATTTCTAGGTTAGGTTTTTTTTTTTTATGTCCCTGGCTTGGTGACGTCCCAGACCTTGTTTTCCGACCTTTTTTTGTCGCATTAAATACTTTAGTTTTCACTTTATTGGGTCTGAATGGGGCTGGACGCTGACACATTGCATGTTGATATTCGTCTGTGTTGCAATACATTTTGAATATCAAACTTCGAATTAGTATTGCGTGTTTGATGCCTCTATGGTTTTGGATTGAATCATTCTACAATGTTTTCTGAATTAATTGGATAGCCATACCGACAAAATCAGCCGCCACAGTCTCAGTTAAAAGTTTTAAATTAATTTTTGAAACTGTTCTGATCTTGAAAAACCTTGTATTTACCAACTGCAAAGGATTAATTTATGAAAAATAACCAATAGTTTTCCCTCTGTGTTGGTGGATTGTGGTGAAAGTGACTCCAGAAGAGGACAAAAAAGAACCGATGCATCAGAAACACATTCAATACTTAAATCAATTCTCCCAACTTGACACCTGACATACGCGACCTTAGACACCTTTCCGCAGGTCAACTCCATCTGTACTCAATTCAATCCCAAAGCCTGAATAAAAGGATAATTGAAAGTCACGGGGGGAATCCCAAGTAAAGATAATTGATTGATGTCTCCGAGGTGTTTAATCCCTTTCGTCCTTAAACTCTTTTGGATCTCGCGGCCCTCGTACCTTATTTCTTTAATAGGTACTCATTTTTATTTATCCTAAAAAGACTTGCCTGTGGAGATATTTTCTTAGGTTTCCAGATTTGGTCCAGCTCCTCCTAGAGCTGAAGAAAAAATGAGCCCATATCCGGAATCCTGCTGTTTGCATGAATGAGGTCTGACTGGAGCTTCAATCCCTGCCTATGCAGCTGGACGGGGACTCGTGAAGACTGCTTCTCCTTCTTCATCTCCTCTCAACCCTCCGGGCAAAGCAAGCCACTGATTCTTATGTTGACCTTTTACGTCTACATCTAGTTCATACAGGCTTTTTATTGCAAACAATATAAAGTTCAAATTGGGTTTCACAAAACATCTCAATATAAAAAAGGACTTGGCCTGAAAGGTCCCCGGCTGTCTGTTCCTAGAGTCTTTCTGTTCAGGAAGTGGCGGCGTTGGTGAGTTTAGGTGCTTCTGTCATGCTGTCCCCCTCAGAGGCGTCCTTCAGCCGGTCTTCAGTGTTGGCAGTCTGGTATTTCTCTGTAGGTCACACAGATTATAAACCTAAATCAGACGAACGGTTTAAAACATACACAAGTATTGTATTTACATAGTTACGGTTTGTGTGGTCCTCGCATCGCTTTCTTTTTCTACTGACCCTTCAACACCGCCGGGTCAGTCTCACCTTTCTTTTTGAGCGTGAATCCTTGGTGACACCTGAACACCAAGATGAGCAGCGCCGCCTCCATCCCCTGGAAAAACCCGTAGACCATGGGGAACAGGAACAGGGTGCCAACCAGCTCCCGGGGAAAGGCCAGCTTCAGGATGGTGGTGCACAGCTGGGTGTTCTGGCAGCCTGTTTCCATGGAAACTGTCCTCATCTCCCTGATTCATGAGCCGAGGATGCATAGAAAGGAAAGGCTATTTATTCTCCCACGTGGTCACCGCGGCGCGTTGTGTTTTACGCCGAATAACTCACGATTGGTTTAGTTTGAAAGGCCAGGAGATGAAGTATCCAAAGGCGTAGCCGATGAAGGGCATGAGAGCGCTGATGGCCATGAGGGGACCGGAGAGCACCGTCAGGATTGAGCCCCCGTTGGTGTAGGAGGTCATGATGATGATGCTCACCACAGCTATCATTGTGAAAGAGAGGCCCACCTGAGAACAGCCACACAGGAGACAAATTAGACTCATTGGCCTTTGATTTGGCTCCTTGATACTGAAAACACTGTTGTTTACCCTCCAAAAGCTCCAAATGCCAATCAATTCGCCTCCGTTAAATACTCCCCAAATTGGCTTAATGCCACAGCTGTTTAAAGAAATGAATGAGCCTTTATTGACAATCAAAGGATAAATAAATAAAGAAAAGATTTCTGTCACAACCCTCTCGTGGGTGCACGGACCTTTGTGATGATCTTAGCGTACTTTGGCCTGTAGTAGTTGACGAGGACGCCGATGCCGCAGGGTATGAGGGTCATGACCAGCGATATGCTGATCTCGCCGTAGGGGATGGCGGCGTGCAGGTCGAAGCCTCGACAGTAGATGGAGAGCAGCAGCGGCATCGTGCCGAATGCCAACAACGTGGAGCAGGTTGTCATCAAAATGCTGGGGGGAAACACACAGCGGGGGGGTAACTCACTTAATCCCAGCCTGGTGATGGGGGGGGCAGCTAAACAACCGCTACCGGGCCACCATTTATCCTTCAAACTGAATTCATGGGATGTCAAAAAAGCCAGTTGAGAAATACTCTGATTGTTTTGTGCGCCGTGGTTGTGAGTGATTAGTTGTGAGGGTACCAGTACTTTTGTTATTAGTTGGTATTTTTCACACTGTGCTGTTTCTACTTTTACGTAATTAGCACCAAACGGGTGGCTGGCAGTTGGGGGAGGATTGTTGAGCTGGCGTGTACCTGAGGTTCATGTCTCCCTGCAGAGCCAGGGCCAGGATGTTGGAGAGGTTCCCTCCAGGACAGCAGCCGCAGATCAGAACCACCACCGCCCTGATTTCAGTTAGCTGGAACGCCTACGGAGTGAAACAATGTCAATAATACACGGCTCGTATGCCGGAGTGTGTCGCCCATTACTGATTACTGGTGGTGGTGATGCCCAGTAAGTGAGTAAAATGTGGAAAAGTAGGAAACACCAATGCAAGTGAGCGTTGCTTATTATTTCATCCTTTGGAACTTTGAATCTTGTGCATGAATCTTGAATTTTGTCACAATGATCATAATTGTTGTTATTGTCCCTTTTCTCACTTTGTGGCTGTAAGAAATCTGGAGGTTTTTACTGTCTGAGGGAATATGTCCTAAACATTACAGACTCAACTTAATTGTATCCCTTAAAACTAATTGTTCATCCTAGAAATACTCAGATAAGTAGCATCTCATAATCCAGTGCAGTTTAACCAGCAAACGATAATATAAGAAATCAAACACAAGGGGCAAATCTTCATTGAGAGGCTGAATAAACAATATATCAAAATGTATTAAACAATCAAAAAACAGAACTAGATTAGGAGGATACATGCATAACCAAATGCCATTAAATGTGAGAAAATAGATGAAAACAAATATATTTAACGGCATTAATAATGTCATAATCCAGTCTCATAATCCAGTGCAGTTTAACCAGCAAACGATAATATAAGAAATCAAACACAAGGGGCAAATCTTCATTGAGAGGCTGAATAAACAATATATCAAAATGTATTAAACAATCAAAAAACAGAACTAGATTAGGAGGATACATGCATAACCAAATGCCATTAAATGTGAGAAAATAGATGAAAACCAATATATTTAACGGCATTAATAATGTATAAATCAGTAGGATAAGTTGCAGACATTGAGACTGCAGGTGGACTGCAGCCTTTGCCCCCAGTATTGTAAAGGAATACCAACCTGAACTAGACAAAATGCTACTAGTGGCATGACAACATACTGGGACACCACTGCTATGATGAGCCCTTTAGGTCTCAGTATGTGGCGCTGGAAAGAAGGAAAACGAGGCTTTAGTACAGAACTGTCAGCATGATGGTGAAGCCTATTCATAAATGCCGTAGAGATGTAAATGCGTCACCTTGATCCTAGACACCTCCATGGTGCATCCCAGGGAAACCATGGTAATGAAAACGACGACTAGCAGGAGTACGTTGATGACTTTATTCATCTCCGGCGACATTGGGTCATGGAAAGCGGAGCCGTTGGTGGCAGCCGTCGCGTTTAAGGAGACGCTGTGGTTTCCCCATGGAGAACCTGTGAAGTCCGAGGAGTCCGCCATGTCGCAGCAGCTTGGGAGGGGTGATGTGGAAACACAATGTGTTGGACCAAAAGACAAAAAAGGCCCGGCCCCTACAACGGGGATTTAAAATGTTTTCATAGTTTCCACCTATTTATCCATCCATCCTTCCATCCATCCATCGTCAAACCGCTTATCCTGCACACAGGGTCGCGGGGGGGGGCTAGAGTCCATCCCAGCCAACTTCGGGCGGGAGACGGGGTACATCCTGGACTGGTCGCCAGCCAATCACAGGGCTACACAGTGACATACAACCATTCACACTCACATTCACACATCTACGGGCAATTTAAAGTTCCCAATTAACCTGATCCCCAGAGCATGTCTTTGGACTGTGGGAGGAAGCCGGAGAACCCGGAGAGAACCCACGCAGACACGGGGAGAACATGCAGACTCCACACAGAAAGGTCACTTGGGGAGTCGAACCCAGGACCTTCCTGCTGTGAGGCGACAGTGCTAACTGCCTCCACCTATTTATGTATAATTAAATAAAGAAACAAAATTGTGCTTTTAAAATGTATTTATACAAAAAGAAGCCTTCCAAATCAGTCACCAAACAGAGGCTGGTCTTAGCTGCTCTCTCGGGGGAAGAAAAAGGCCCAGGCACACTTAGATTGTCCATTACCTGCATTGCCCCATAAACAGAGCTGAGATTTAAGCAGACAGGAGGAGGAAAGGTCCTGCAGAGAGGCTGAGCAGGCTCAAACAGACGTTTCATCCTACGCTCCATCAGCTTACTCAAGTTACTAAGGACGCCCTATAGGCGTGATGAACTGCCTGTAAAGATAGTGCTGTCCGTATTCTTTTTGATACAAAGTCCATTTTCAGTTGCACTTTCGGTGATGGCTGTGTCTATAATACTTTACAACCACACTTTAAAAATTACGAGGGAGATTGCAAATCATGCAATTACTGTGCATTACAGTTATGTACGTCACAGAAAGTGCTGAAAAATATATTAAACTATTCTTCTTGAAATTCCAACCATTATGAGGTCATTCAAATAAGAAAGCAACGGGCACCAGTCCCCGACAGAATTATTGAGATCCCAAGGTCAGATACTTTGATTCAATAAATGACTGCGTACTCCTGTGAACAGGTCACTGTTCTGTTGATAAGCCGCGTTATCTGTCAGGTCATAGTACACACAATATGAGCCCAGCAACCTTTTACATAATGGTAATTTAGCGTTACAGCCTGAAACACTGACAGCTAACAGCTAACAACCGGTATTTTCAAAATATGATTAAATGTCAAGAAAAGGACAAATGCAATAACCTAAAAGTACTAAAGAAAAAACTTCATAGAAACATGTGATATTCCAATTATAAATATATGTATGTTTGTTCAGCACATACTGATAGACCAGCTTCCCTACATGCAAAGAAATGGCAGCACTTCACTTTATCCTTCATAAGCTGAATACAAACATCTGAGCATTTTATAGTATAGTAGTTTCCAACAAATATATGTGTTAGTTGAGGCCAGTACTTATCAGCCATTGTGACTTTTCCTACAAAGACACATTATGTTTCATTGCAACTGTATTTCCCCCCATAGAGTTATGACTTTACTCTTGTTTCATATTTATATTTTCCAACCTAAAACATATATTTCCGCAGCAAGTCACTTAAATGACACACACACATTGTTTGCTCGCTCCAAACCTTCCTGTTCTTTGTGCTTAGATTAAAACCACCACATCCTCCCGACTGGCATGCTCGCATGCTGTGTGCAGACAAATTGCCTCTCACGTTAATTTTGCACCCATAAAATCTTAATCAGAAAACAAGAGCCCACGGCTTCATAAATGTGTCATTCAACTGCGTATTGACTTCTCGATCGCCGGGGTGAAGGTGAGAATTGCACACCTATTCTTGGAGATCAGCTTGAATAAAAAAGAAGAAGCCCGAGAGGATTCACCAGAAGCAAAACACTTACCTCTGTTTAAAGTGTGAAACCGACAGATTTGTTTACAGCCATTGTTTCATAAATAGTGTCTTTACCTTTGGGGACAGAGGTTCCTGTGCTCTTCACTGCTGCGCCAAATCTACTCAGTCTGTGTTTGCGGGCTCTTTTCTATCAATCATAAATGACACGTGGAGGCTACAAGTCACCCAGATGTGCCATCTAGTGCAACTGTTGACTTGTGCACCGTGAGCACTAAATGAGAAAAACTGCAGTAATGTTTCACCTTATTCAATATCAGTTAGATGGTAGAAAGTCTCTCTCGCACACAGAGGCAGATCATCCGCATCATCTGATAAATGCAAATGTTTATCAGTCATTTTTCAGAATCTCGTGGTGCCTTAAATGATGGTCTACATCAGAGGTGTCAACGGGCCGCTAGTTGGTCCAGCTCAGCCCGCTGGATGAGTTTGCTTGCGTGAGAATTACAGAAAGACACAAATTGCATTTCTATAAAAGTAGCTGCTATTCCTAATCAGCAGACTGGGGGTCTGCATGAGTGAGCGCATGCCACAGACTTACTGTGAGAAGCGCTCTGAGATCGGTCATGCCGTGACTCCCCACAGCCGGACCAATGAAATAACATATTCATTTTAAAATATACTTTAAATATATTGTTTAGCCTGTCAGAAGCCTTTCAGAGAATTTACATAGATCTGTGATATTAAAAAAAGAGAATGCAGACTTTATATGATTATCTCTTGTGAAGCTTTGTGCATTTTGCAAATGATCAGTGGAGAGCCCGTGAGCGTCTCATCAAAAACCCCTTTGAGTCCTCTCTGTTTGATCTGTTCACCTCACAGACAAACGTCTACAAGACCTTCTAGCAGCCTCAAGAGGCTGCAAATGTCATCGCACGCCACAATAGAAAGTGGCACGTAACAGCAGATTGAGAGGTGTAAACGACAGTTTTGGGGGTAACTAGTTATAGAAATATCCTCTGCTCTTGGTTAATAAATGATGCAGTGAAAGAGGAGGCCAGAAATGTCCCCAGAGCAACAGAAACACTAGAGGCTTTGCTTTCGCCACAGTACCAACTCTGCACACGATGCCGAACAATGGGCAGTACACAGATTATTTCTTTAAAGCTAACGCCATAGTTTCTGATAGCTTTCCCTTTGCTGCGTAGTCCTGCCGTCGCTAAGCAGGCTGCAAAACCTCTCTGCGGAGTTGAGAATGGATGAAAGAGGAAGCTCGTCACGCCTGCAGCTTTGTGGCAGCACCAGAGAAGCTCCTGCATTGGTCGACGCATTCAACACAGTTGGGTGGATTTACAGTCGTGGTGCATTTATGTGCTGCTGTCCTGTGAGATAAACGTATCTGTGAAAAGTGAACTTCCCATGAGCACTGAAAGGCCTCTCTGTTTTCAGAGTATAATTGAAAGTATAATTTGTACCCAAATGCAGTACTTGAGGAAATTGACTTGGTAACATTCCACCACATGTGGATTTATAGAGCAGATCATTCAAGAAGAACCATTAACAGTAAAATAAAGTTTTAAATTGGTGCGAGGCAGATCTTCAGTGTGTATCCACTGTCACGTCAACCAATCAGCTGCAAAAAGGCCCAAGCCTGAACATTTCCCATCAACCTGCATAAGATATGTGTGCTGGTAACATTAGTGACGTACCTGGGAGCCGGGGTCGAAAGAGGCAAATACAGAAATACAGAACAAATATGTTTCACAATCCCGTTACTACCTTCCCTGCCCCGGCCGCAACTAATCACTGCCTGAGCTCCCTGCAGCTTGAATAATATTGGCTGAAACTCAGGCCGAGAGGGGGGGGGATAACATTGAGGTTGAGGCGAGACGGCCAATATAAAAAATCTTGGTTCTTGTTTTTCTCATTGGCATATATTTTTTGTGACATTACCCATCCCTAGAGGTAATTGCAAATGCAATCGTAGCGCACAAATGCATATAGATGCTTTCTTGATGGTATTCATGGAGGCAGAGGGACGTCACTCAGCGGATGCATTATTAAAAGCCTGGCCTTATTCATCCTTTACATAGACTTTACTGCTCCAGACCATGTTTCTGGGTGACCCTGTTTGCAGGAAGTTTATAAAAATGGTACATGGGGTGAAAAATTGGCAGGGGGCTAGATTCAGAGGTCAAACTGATGGGGGGGGGGGCATAAGTGGTCCTAGAAGTTGGAAAAAGAGAAGGTAGGACGAAGGCAGGTCTAAAGCCCCATATTGGACACGGAGGCCAGGGTGTCGCCCGCAGCTGCTGTGGCCTCTTGACCTGCTGGGGGGGGGCTTCCAATTTTTTCAATACATTTGCTGATCCACTGTTGCAGCGCACAATAATCCACAGTGTAAGCTCCTTACAGCACAATTTAGTGAAAAAAATAAGCACCACAGCAGATTATTTGCAATGTGTTCTGACATGTTTTTCTCCACCAGGACATGGAAATAAAATAATCTAAAATAAAAAAAAATGTGTTGTGTAAAATATATATATATTTATACGTGTATGCCGGTGTGTGTGTGTGTGTGTGTGTGTGTGTGTGTGATATATATATACAAATATATACTCTTACAGCAATTCCCATAATGCTCCTCTAGGGAGAGACGCTGTGACGTCATGTTCGGGATTAATGCCTTCTGGATAGTGTAGAGTATAAATAAGAATGGCCTTCTATTTTGATAGTATCAAAGAACGTTCTAATATTTGAACCGCTCGTGGCTTGATGAATATCTCTCTTTGCGAAGTTATTTGACTTCAAATATCCTTCAGAAACGTACAATTTCTGAAAGAATCGACGGAAGAAATAGCTTGAGAAACTACATTTCCCACCCCCCGGGGAGGCTGCGCACCCGCGCTGCGCAGTGGCCTCTGCGTGCGGTGAGGGCAGTCACGTGCAATCCTCCTCAGTCCTGTCCAAACAGAACGTGAGCGTTAACCAGTCTGCCTGCTAGAGCGCCGGTCGGTGCTAAACCGATTCATGTTGTTTTTTTAGCCACTTGTCCCTTTTAAAGTAGACTATTGTATCGAAGAATGAGTGATAACGACGATATCGAAGTCGATAGTGACGTGAGTATGACCACGTTTGTCTTTTTACCGATGTTATTTTGCTAGCTTACGATTTAACGTTAGCCGACCTAGCGGCTCAGCTAACGTTAGCTACCCATACGCCTGCTAGCCTCTCTGTTTTAAGTGTTTTTTGTCGGGATCTTACTCCGCACTATCCTTTCTTGCCTTGTAGCATTATAAACCTACCAAGTTTGACCTTATAGTGACGTCAGCGTGGCAGTACGATTTGCTGAACAATTATGGCTACAATTGTACTTTTTGTTCTGTTTCTTTGCAGGAAGACTCACCGAGATATCACTGTGTGGTGCGTAATGCTGGGGGATTTTTTTTTCCAATGTCGAAAAATGTTTCACTGTTGTAAAGTTTATTCATCCATCACATTCTGCTTATTTTATTGGTATTTAATCGACTGCTAGGCCTACATCGTGGAGGTTGGTGTACTTATTTCTGCCTCGTGGCGGACCTACATTTATTCTAACCCGTGTGTGTGTGTGTGTGTGTGTGCACGTCATTTTCTGGGGCTTTGAACTATGGTGCAATCGTACATTTTGACGTTGCGATTATTCCTCTGCATCGGCGTTCTGCACTGCAGGGTTTCCCCATCCCGTCTGTCCGCGGCCGTAGAGAGACGATGGCACGACGTCTATATTTAGACCAAAGCTTTATCCCGCTACAAATTGTTGCGTGTTTTATACCCCCCCCCCCTTTAATACATAGCTTTCCGTGATCGGTGTTAGTCCGATAGTCAGTCCGAGTCTCCCTTCCCAAGCCCCCCCAGCGGTTCACCACGGGGGTCCGCTCGTGATCAGTGTGCCTTTTGGGGTTTTTTTTTTCCCCTCTTTGCAAATTACACATCTAGGTCATCTCCATACAGAGAGATCCGTTTGCATCTGTGCTGCATTCAACACCACGATGATGATGATGATACAGTGGTGAAGGTGTAGGGGGGGGGGGTGAGCGCAACCCCCTCCTGCATTCTCGGACGAGTGGTAGGGGGGGTTGTGTGGTGTAAGTGGGGGGGATGTTTCCCTGTGTGCACAGCCAGTGATAAGAGCCATCTTCTCCCTACAGCCCACAAAAGGGTGGGCAGCCTCAATGAATGACGTACAGCCGCATCACAGAGAGAGAGAACATAACAATGCACAGGCTGCACACCCCCCCCCCCCCCACCCAGATTACCAGAAGGGGAGAACAGAAAGACAATCGGAGATCGATTCCATTTTGAGAAAATACATTAGTGGTATATTTGGCTCAGGCCATTCCCCTTTGCTTCCTCGCAGAGCCATGTGAGAAACTCCAACCTGATTTTAGTTCATCATTTGAGTCAGTTGCTTCCATCTTGTCCTAAATGGTTGTGTAAAGAGTTCTAATACCTGCCAGTATACAAATACAGCTGAATTTGGGAAATGATTAATAGCTTTGACTGCTGCCTGTTAAATTACACTTTTGATTTAAAAACGAGGCGTCATTCAGCTGAGCGTTGAAGAAAGGATGTGAATCCCTGAGGGTGTGGCAGATATTGTTTTCTATATGGTGGGTCTTTGTTTGTGAGATAATATACCGAGGGCCAGCCTTATGACACGTAATGCTAAAGTTTGGAGGTGATGGACACAAAATGAACAGGCAACAGTTTACGTAGTTGATTAAATTGTTAAGAAAAAAAATCTGCAATTCCCGGGATTGATTTTCAAATTTGAGGGTTGTTTTTTAATATTGTTGCACATTCTAAATCACTTGAACCAACCAAGACTGAAACGCGTCACCGTGGATTCTCAGAACGTGTGATAGACCGTTTACACTCTGAGCTAAATTGAAGTAAAAGCAAACCGCTCGTCGTTGCAGCTCAATGTGGAATCAATCTTCACGGGCGAAGAACAGGGGCTTTTGATTTCATGCCGCAGTCTTTTTATTTTTGCAACAGGGGCGGCATTCGCCCGCTGCAGTTTCTGGTTTATTGGTGTGTCTGCGGTTATCGGCAGAGGACGATTGTTGTTTTTCCATGCAAGCCACCCGCCCCAAAACGTCTGCTTGCTTCCACGCAGAAAGCCGGCGAGTTGGTCATCAGCACCAAAGAAGCAGGCAGCTACCAGCTCCTCCACCCGGCACCCGTTATGTAAGACGTCGTGGTCGGGTATGAATGGAGCGGAGGGGGCGGCCCTGCTGCCGTGTCCTGTCCGGCGGGTGGCTAAAGCTACCGTTTTTACGATGAACTGATAATGGTGGTTCTCAGGTAACTGGACACCTGTTTTTTGCGCAGGCTTGAACCACGTAGCACAACTTGGTTTTAATGAACCGGTTTGTTTGTCATCAAGTGAGCTGGAATGAAATAGTATCTAAATTAGTCAACCTTTGTTGGCCGTTGCTCCATCAATTTAACTCACATTTCTGTCTGGTTAGTATATTTGTCCATCAGAAAATGTAGCCTGTATTGATATTATTGAATGTATAACGATTACATATTTTATCCATATGTTTAAACCGCTGCGATCCGGATGCGTCTAGTCTTCTGATCCCTGCAGTCATACAGAATCTACTGTTCTGTCCTCTTCCATTTAAGAGTATCATTTACATCACAGGAGCATATAGAGGTGGCAGACCTTCTCTAAACACACTTTCGACATCTGTAGGGGGGGGGGGGGAGTAAAATGGCACGTGGCTTTCCTTGTAGAATAGTTTTAAACGAGATTATTGTGGGATTCAACCACAACGTTGAAAGGTTCAAAGAATTGATATCTGGAAGAAGCATATTACGTGTTCACATGAAGTCCCCCACGGCACTTTAATGTCCATAATTGCAAAATAATTATACACAGAGCAGCTCCAGAGAGTAGTGTTTAAATACATCCCAGGATCTTAATTACAAATATTAATGATACAAATTACAGTCTTTAGTGTTACAGGTTGTCAGCAACATGAAATCTAACCGGAAGATGTGATTGATGAAAAGTTCCCTCAAACCTGGGGTCGGAAATGCAAACAAACTATAGATACAAAAATATATATATATGTATGTGTGTACATCTAACTTCACATATTTACAAAAAACCCTTACCCTAATTTAAAAAAAATATATATTATGATTGGTATTTAAACTTCAGTTGCAGGAATCAGCCTCGTCTTCCCTGTAAACCGAAACCATCCGTATCACCGTATCGTCTACTGGCACATGCCAATCATGCCCGTCATGTGTTTGTGTGCGTGCACGGAGGGAGTGGAGCCTCGTCCCCTCTGTGGCTTTGTGTATGAAACCATGGCAGTCGGACTACGTCATGTTTTGATAACGTGATTTTTATCATGGTTTCGGTTTCCCTTGCGAGGCATCTGGTGGGATCAGTTGTTATCGAGCGCCACGTTGCTCAGTGAGAACTTGCGTTTGGTTACGCGCAACGCGCCGCCCTTCCCACCAAGCGCGCAGCACGCGGCGGGCTTGTCTTGACCTGCGTGTTGTCTCGCTTGTGGCTTCTTCTTTCTCTAAATGAGTCACGTGACACCGACGTGACTTCTGCTTTGTCTCCCTTCGACTGCTGATCTTAAAGTCGGGGCTTCGCTTTGTCGGAGGCGCGTGAAGCGTGATGATGGGTCGAGCTTGCGCAGGCTTTGATTGGCCGTTGGACTTAATGTCTCTTGGGCCTGGTGACAGCCTGAATTAAGCCCGGAATCACATGTGATTGGAGGCCGGGGCGGCTTGGCCTAAAAAACAGGTCGGACGACGGGCAGCAAACTGATCTCCCGGCTGCCTCAGGTCATGTGATCACGGCAGCCATCTTGTGCATTTACAGTCTAATTACAATTCAAATGTGTGTGGCTGAATTTTGTAGCCCGTCAGGCGCCGTTAGATGAGCCGTGGCATTTTAATTGGGGACGTATACAATAAGGGTTTGGTTGCAAACCGCTGGCTGAAATCCCATTGGACAGTGTGGCTGTTGTAATATGAATAAGGCGGCGCTGCACTTCTCAGCAGCCTTCAACTAAACGGCACAAGTTCTGCTCTTTGATTCACTCTGGATGTCCTGGTCTCTCCCCATCTGAGGCCGCTCCTGCAGTGAAGGAGGAGCTCAAATGTAATGGTGGGGGTGGGGGAGGGTAGTTCTCACTAGGGGGCCGTAAGACAAAAAGGCCACAGGATAGAGGCCCATGTAACTCTCAATTTGAATTGATTGTTTTGGTTTTACCTCGGTGGTCGACTGCTGTCAATCGTCCTTCTCCCTGGCGGTTTGTTTGTTGGGGATGAACCCAAAGCGAAGCGCTACTTGGAGCCCACGCAGTCCGGCCAAGCAGCATGTGATTAGTTTGAATAACACCACGGTGTCACATTAATTACACAACTCTTTCATTACACATATTTCGGCCAATTCCCGGTGTATCCTCATTATTATAATTGGGTTGTGTTCTTTAGTTGGAATACAGAATTTTTTTTATGGTTTCTGAAACTTTTTGTTTAACCGGATTCAGTTTTCAATATTTTCTTGTTTTCAATCTCAAGATGACTGAGAACATAAAATATCCGGCAGGTTTCAACAGCCTGTATTGTCTTTAGACGGTTCTGCTGCTGTAAAAATGTAGTTTATATATTAGACACTTTCTAATCTATTTACGGACTATATACAAGATGGTTATTTTCTGTCCTTTGTGAAGTGGTTTGCAAGGTCTAACAGCAACCATCACTACTGACACAAGAGCTGGAGTTCTCACGTATGTGAAGGCTTCATGTAAATAAAATCTGTCCTCAGAGCGTTCTTTAATGTTCAAGTTGTTCGTTTAAATCAAATATAACCCAACCAAGAATAATGACCGTACAAATGTTTTGTTAAAGTTAATCTGGCAGAAATTAGGGTTAGATCTTTGTTTTCCTGTCGTGTTTACACCATTTCTGTTTGACCATTCTTCAGTATTATTTGTTTAAGCAATTTAGCAATTAAAAATAATCTGCAGAGAATCAATAATGAAAATGACCCCCTTTGACACAACTGCAGCGGCGTTTTCGTCGCCATGACGGCAGCAGAGCCGTTTGTGCAGGCGGACCGGGGGGGGGGGGGGTCCTCGCCCCCCCTCGCCGTCCTCCACCCACACTGCTCTGCTGCGCGGGCTAAAGGCTGTGTGGCTCTTGTCATTGCAGGCAGACAAACGGGGCACACCACAATGCCCTGGAGCGCAAACGTAGGGACCACATCAAAGACAGCTTTCACAGCCTTCGGGACTCTGTCCCCGCCCTGCAGGGAGAAAAGGTTGGTAAAGCTCAGCCTGCAAGTCCTCCAGGCACACGATGTTCAGGCTCCCATGTAAGGAAATTTTGAACTTTTGACCATGTGTGTTCTGAAAGGTGAAGTATTATGTGTTGTTGTACTGCAGAGGCTGCGTGGGGGACGAGTGCGTTTTGTGTTGTGATTTCTTTGTCTTTATAGTGTTTGTGTGTGTTTGTGCATGCGTGTGTGTCAGTGGAGAGAAATGGCACTGGGAGGAGGGAAGATGGCGGGCGAGTGCAGATTGGCAGCAGCGAGACGGCGACGCGGTCTAAATACTTGGACCGGCGTCAACAAGTTATGAGGACATTTGGAGAGCTGGCTCAGTAACGCGGGAACACACCAGTCCTCCCCTTGACACCGCTTCATGGCTCCCACGGCGGGACTCATGGGATGACGTGAGGGGAACGTCTGTGCTCTTTTCCTCAATAGTTTCCTCACATGGCCGGAGGCGGAGTTTGAGCTGAACGGATTCAGGGGCCAAAGTACAAACCTCACTTTAGTCCATGAGGGAGGCCCTTCTTACTTAATCAATAAGAGCCAGAGCGAGGCGCCTCGTTTCCTCATAAAAATGTCGCCGTCCAGCCTCCAGGTGCCTTTTCTCTCCGGGTTGATTCGGTCTGCAGTACAACGAAAAGAGAGCGAATGTCTGCGCGTGAAGGTGTGACGTGAGACTCCGCAAAATGTCGTCACTGCTTCACTTCTGCACGTGTCACTAACAAGCGTCTACCAAACAGGCGTCGAGAGCTCAGATCCTAGACAAAGCCACAGAGTACATCCAATACATGAGGCGAAAAAATCACACGCACCAGCAGGACATCGACGACCTGAAGAGGCAGAACGCGCTGCTGGAGCAGCAAGGTAACAAAGCTCGACGGGTTCACACCAATAACACCTTCCGCCTTCTGTTAACCGAGCAGTACTCCGAGGTTTGGGGCAAATTCCATATTTGTAGCCTGCTGATAGTCGCCAATGTCCTCTTTGGAACATATGCCACACACTGTTATTTAAATTGTTACGCTTAAACTGTTTATGCCACTAATTGATTGATAGGGAAAAAGCAAATGTGACCTCCGGCCAGAATATTTCTTCCCCCACCATCGTTTTGAAACCCTTCCTTTTGCTCACCGACCTCGTCTCCCCCCCGTTGGTTCCCGTGGTGTCGCCGCGCAGTCCGCGCTCTGGAGAAGGTGAAGGGCTCCGCCCAGCTCCAGGCCAGCTACTCCTCGTCTGACAGCAGCCTGTACACCAACCCCAAGGGCAGCGCCGTGTCGGCGTTCTACAGGGGCTCCGACTCCCGCTCCCGAGTCGGAGGCCGAGGAGCCGCCCAACAGGAAGAAACTGCGCGCGTGGGCGCCAGCTAGACGGCGCCGCGATTGAGGGCGGTCCTCTCTCCTCCCGCGTGCACATAAGAAACCACTTCAAGGCCCCCCCCCCCCCCCCCCCCTCTCCTCCCCGCCGTACGTGGCTTGGCTGACACTGGAGACTCCCCGCTAACATCCTCACACCAAACCATTGTTTCTCGCCCCAGAACAGCAGGGTGGCGGATGACCGCTTCAACCAATTTAGAGAGCTTCAGGTTGTCGTCTCCCCCTCCCCTCGCTCGCCTCCCCTCTTTTAATTTGGTTCTCCTTCATTGCTACCCCCCCCCCAACATCTACAATCTAAAGCCCAGAAAGAGGCAGCTCGGCTATTTAAGGACTTGGTGCTTTTCTTTGTACCCTCAAAAAAGCTCCTCCTCCTCCCCAGGTTTTTTAAGGGGGGGCGGTGCTCCTAGCGTACTCAAAGCACTGCTATATTGCTTCTTTTTTGTTATTCTTGATGAAATAAAAAAATCAGTTCAGAATTTACACACATACGTAGATAAATTGTCCAAGAGAAGTTTACCTTTTTAAAAACGAGAAATGAATTTGTAGCTTTTTCCACTAAAGAATGTGAAGACGCTTTGAAGCAAATGTTAGTGAAACCCACCTCAGGCCCCCTGGATTGCAGACGAATTCTGCCTGACACGTGATCACAGGATTAAAATTAAAAAAAAGAAAACATGACTCCTTTTGTTGAAATTGATGTTTTGAAGCAGAATATTCCTAAACTTGTATCGTATTTTGTCCTTTAGCTTGAAGTAGTGATGACTTTAGGTGGCTGAATACGTTAGGCATCTCGTACTATATATTATTCAAATGCATTGATTGGATGTTTAAGTTCTAAAGTATGTTATGCATTTTTTAGTAATCTCACGAGTCATGGAAAAGGCCAATTTAACACATGTAGTTTTCCTTGAAATAGGTATTGAATGTCCAACAGTAGCTCCCGTGGTTTGCAGTACGAGGAGGCAAAATAATTTCCTGTCGATGTGTCGTGCTTTACACAGTAAAAGTCAATGTTGCTGAATCCCCACCCCGCCCCCAAGGAAAAAAAGGAAGCATTTTGCGTCTCTAGGAAACATGTGTATTTATATTGTTTCCATTTGAGGATATAATTAGTGATAGTTATTTGTTCGTTCCATTCCATGGAGATTACAAGTATGTTGTACATACTGCCATCAATTGTCTTGCAAGTTAAGGCCTACCTTTACTATGAGACTATAAAATAAACTATTTTATCCTTTAGCGTGCTCCTTGTGGTCATTTAGCTGCAGAAGAACACAATCGGGTCGTCAGCTTTCTTCCCTCCAACATAAAGCTTTCAGGAGGCAAACGCGACTTGCTGGTTCATTAGTTCCAGCGTTGCTGACGAGTGTCTAGAATTAAGGCCAAGAACAAAACGTCCTTTCCTCCTCTCGCACTGGTTTAGTTTAAAATGTGTGGAGGGGAACCAGCCAACATGCATGTCAGAGCCCACACGGACCGCAAAAAGTACGTTTCTTTTACAGAGTAAGCGGATTTTTTTGTACATTAGTTTTAAACAGAGCAGCATTATTGGGAATATGAACATTTATATTGCTAATTGTCAAGCCAACAGACATTCTCACTGTTCGGTTTTTAATAAAAGTCATTTTATTAGTAAATTATAGAAAATAAAAAGATTAACAATGTATTGAATCTTATTTTGTTGGCCTAAAAATAACCACATTTGAGTATACTTAGGCTTAAAATACTGGTGTCAGTTACATCCGTCCACACATGTAGATTTTGCAGGACCATGAAGTTCTTAACGGTCGACCGTTGCAGTGAACCATTTCATAACCATACCAAGAAGTTCTTTGCAAAGATTTATTAACTGAGGTTCTACTTTTATTTCAGGTATAGAAAACGTTACGCAGCGCAAGCAAAAATCCAGCCGAATGCTAAGATGCCCCGCAAACAGTTGACCTATTCAGACGAAGTCCGGCCCGCCTTTAAGCTGCAGTCAACCGTTCGTAGGGGGGGGGGTCGGGTCTGCTGCCCCGCGGGCGGTCCCGGCTTCACTGGTGGCCAGCTAGGACTGATGGTCACGTGATCCGGCGGTGTCGTCGTGGGGGACGGGCTGCCGGTGGAAGTGCTGCAGAGCCTTCGCCACCTTCTCCGGACAAATGTTGTAAACTGGATGAGTCGGCGCCTGCGAGACAATCAGAGGGAAATATAAAACCTGCGTTGTTTCTCAGTTTGTCTATTGCCTATAATGTGCCTTTTAATTACAGCACAGCGGAAACTGTCCTCTGGTCTCCATGGAGACATTTCAGACGTCCCGAGCATGAAGCCATTCTACTTTTACCGGCTGGCTGGCTCCTTAGTTCTGTATTATAATCCAGTGTTGGTATATGCATATCTGGGGGGGGGGGTTACTGTAACCGACCCTAATTGCCAGGAATGCGACAGGAAACATGAAAAAAAAAATGAAACCAGCTCCACCGACATGTGAAACCACATGCGATCTTATCAACACCACACATTTAAATCAGACGTTCACACTGGAAATGAAAGGCACGCCCTTCGTTCAAAGCAACGGTGTCACGCTCTATTCACCGTTCATCTTAATCTTGAGATATTGAGACCATTAAATCTTAAAATATGAACCCTGAGCTGATTTTTTATTTATTACCAAAATCCATGAGGGGCTGCACTACTATTAAAGAATATCGAAAATTGCCAATATCGGTGTCATTTCGTCCTCACCAGTCTGTTCTCCTCCCTGCCGAGGATCATCTCGTGATGGAGGTCCATGTTTCCAAAGTGTTGCGCTATCGAGAGGCCGCTCAGGCAGTAACACGTGTGGTAGAAGTCTCTGGATCTGGACACGCAACAAAGAACGGCGTAAATCATGTTCATGAGGGGGAAGAAAACAACACGTGAATCACATTGAACTGTGTGCAGAGCGCATGTGTGTCCAGATGGTGGGGTACTGACTTGCCAGGCTTATCCAGAAGGCCCCCCGTCGGGTTCTGGCAGCACAGGAGGATGTACTCCTGCAAGGCCTGCTGCTCGAACATCCACCGCTGCCGACTCAGCTCAGATTCCCCTGCACACAACTTCAGACTGAAACCACTTCCAGAGGTACGAGCACCAGCAGCTTCTTTACAGTTTAGCCCCACATCTTCATCTCCATCTCTCCGTGTGCGATGCGTTTGCGGAGCAGTGGCTGCTACGGGAATACCGTGTTTACAGTGTCTTTCAAAATCCGTCCGAAACCAAAAAATAGTAGAACATGTGCTCAGAATGTTTGGTCGGAGGAACTGGTAAGACTGGAAACGACGAGCCCGTGTGTTTATCTGCACATCATCCGCGCAGTGTAGCGAGAGTAAACACAGCACTCAATCAATCCCTCCCGACGGATTCTTCAGCTCTGAAAACTATCAATTACACAGAATACCTGCAAGGCGTTTACTGTAGGACACACACACACACACACACACATCTTGACAATGACTTTGTGGAGGCTTTAAGGGGAAACATGCAGTACCTTCTTTGAACAAGGCCCTGTGGAGTAGAGGCAGCAGTCCCGCCTGCCAGAAGGAGTAGCAGCCGTCCACCAGTTTGTTACAGCGGCCCTGGAAGCCGCCTTCGAACCGCATCTGCCTGCTGACGACCCACCGCTGAGGAGGACACGCGACAAACACACACCGTGAGTGACCTGCCGGGGGCTCCACTCTGATCCTCTACTCGCTTTAAGCGTCGGGGCCCAGAGGGGAAACATCTTCATATTATTTAAATAGAAGAACTTGCAATGTTGTCGACAAACAGCTAATTGGTGCACATCCAGTCCTGCGGAGTTTAATAGGGGGGGGAACAACGTTCAGCTTATTAACGGTTGAGGCATTCATTTCGGCCCTTAGGGAAGGAAACGTCTTTAAGACAAACACCAGTTTCTGTAGTTGCGCTTGTGAAACAAAAAGGACACGCGCGCTTTATAATTAGCCATCATATTCACGGTTTTTCTCTTCACCGGCCTTCACACATTTGCAGAACAGTGTGAAACAAAGAAGAGCGGAAAGAGACTTTCCACAGCGCCGGTTATGCAGCTGTAACATGCAAATAGCCAAACGCTCTCGCTTTTAAATAAAGGCACGTGGTCCTCCTGCAGTAATCTACACCATAAATGCTTCACGCGCGCTGCGGCTGAGTTCAGCGCCGTCTTTATTCGATTAGAATAAACACGCTGCTCTGTGGGAATTACGCCGCTCCCCTTTTCTGTACACCGCCGGGCAATATGTAAAAGTCTTCTCTGCCGGTGAAATGTTCCCACATTCAAATGAAGCATGGGTCTCGTTTAGCGAAGCGGGGGACGCTCAGGTCCCGGAAGGCAAATTAATTCTCCCAGAGACGAAAGCCGGGGCGGCTTTTGCGCAGCGTGACTCATCCGGCTTCACTCGGTAGAAGGGACAAATTGATGAAGGCTTTTGGTTTGGGTTCACATCCACTCGCGTTCTGCATGATGGTACCCGACCTGCACAGACACACGGTACTTCAGAGGGCAGCAGTCGGATAGCATGCGGGGTGGGGAACTGGTTCAGACCGGTCAGAGGCACGTTTCCCTTTACGATCACACTGACACTAGAACATGGTGTGTAAATATTGACGGCGCGACGGCCGCCGGTGGAGCGTTAAACAGGCTTCCTGTTTCAGGTTATTAAAAGAGGACCAGTGGGCAGAATTCAGTGGCATCTAGAGGGAAGATTGCAGATTGCAACCAACTGAACATCCTCCTCCCTGAAGAGGACCCAGTCTTTGTGTAGATACGATTCTTAAGTATCAGGGGATTTTAAACTGAAGAGATGGTAATCCGTTTCATATTCCATAACTGCCTTTAAATCTACAAAGTGTTGACTAAAATAATCCACAGCAACCAACCCAAGCTGCTTTTATTCTTTGAATAAGAGATGTATAAAACAGCCACTGTCCCTGAGCACAAGCCTCCCCCAACCTGAGGCTCCAGGGCGGCGCTTCTCCCCCTCTCTTTTCTCCCGGAGCAGCGACATGACAAGAGAAACTAAAGTATCCCAGAGGGGACATCACACGCCGCTGTGACACGACCTGGCGGAAACTTTGACCTCCGATAAGAGCCCGGCGACCAAATAAACAAAAAAATGTTGTTACAAAGAACACTCGCGGCGATGTTTCTAAATGGATCTGCAGGAAAGAAAATATTGGATCAAGATACAGGACCAACTCTTATCTAAACAAGCACAAAATGAATCCGAATGAGTCTCCAGCAGGCGTTATCAGTTCTTTTACTTAATGGAACCTTCTGTGGGTGGTACGGTCTTATTCTTATTGGTCTGCTCACGCCAGCGAGCACACTGTACACGGGATATTGCCTGAGCACAAAAGGCCCTGCTGTGACTGACACCGATAGCGTCCAGGCGGCCCCCCCAGGTCAGCCCGTTTTTTGAAAACCAATTGGTTTTTGTTGGACAAGCAAGAAAATGTTTTTTTTTTAAAAGCAGAGCGATGAGCTTCTCACCAGCAGCGCTTTGAGGTCCAGCATGTGCTCTTTTCCCAGGATGACAAGTGCCGCCGTGCCGCAGAACGTGTACCCGCCGTGGGCCTCCAAACCCGGCACCCCGCTCAGACCACCTTCCCAGTTCTGACAGCTTGGGTGGGGGGGAACAAAACACACACACTGAAAATACACACCCTGGTTGACGCAGGAAAGGAACGGTACAAATGGGTCTTTGACGAGTCGGCGGTGGGCCGTACCTGAGGATCCAGTTGGGCGTGTCCTCAAACACTTTAGGGAGGAGGATGTTTGTGAGCGACGCTACAGAAGCTGCACAGTACGCACTCCTACAGAGAAAAGGGGGAGAAAAAAGCAGGTGGATGTGGATCAAGAGGGAGAGAGAGAGACAGAGAGACAGATGGAGGAAGTCGGTTCTTAACCCGAAAAACTTAAAATGTTTTTTTATGTCAGAGCGTGCTCAGTGACTGGACTAGTTTCTCTCCACCTATTAGTCAGATTCAGTCATGATTGAATTTAAATCCTGGTTGTTCACTCATAGTTTAGTTTCACACCGAGACAGTTAAGCAAATGCGTCGGAGAGGAAGAGAGTTTGAATAATAGATGACGGCAGAACATTAGCTGCTTGGCAACAAAACAACAGAGAGTGAAAGAGTTTGACTTTTGAAGTTCTGTGGCACGCTGGAAAAAAAAAAAAAAAAAAGGAAGGGAGGGAGGGAACCGAACAGAGGGGCAGGAAGTAGCGTTACTTTGTGGGATCTCACCTGACGTCCACCTCTCCCCCAACGTGCATCACAAACGAGCCATCTGGCTGCTTCACGGACATTAGGAAATCTAGCAGCTTCTCCCTGGACAGCAGGAAGGGGGGAGAGAGAGAGGGAGAGACGTCAAAGCCTTGTGAACACAACCTGCATGCTCGTATAATTAGCTAGTGATTAATAAATCAATTATACTAAATGATTTTTAATGGAAAACTTCATTATACAACCATTGACTGAAGACATTGTGAATATTAGCTATTATAATCTGCAGCCTCTTCATTGAGGCTGGATGTGAACACAGGGACACCCTTAAGTTGATTGGATACACAGTGTTTTGTATATTCTTGGTGAGTGGGTGCACCGTACCGGTCTATGATATTGTAGGCCTCCTCTGTGCCGATGATGCACAGCGCGTTGACGGCGGCGTAGGTAGGCGCGAGGTGGGCGTGTTGTCCCGGTCCTCCGGCGAAACCGCCCGCGGCGCTCTGACAGCGAGCCAGAAACTGACACACGCTGGACAGAAGAACGTCGCAGAGTTTAGACCAAGAGCGGACGGACGGACAGACAGACAGACAGTCGAACGTCACTCGACTAATGCTGAAAAGTCAAATAACAGAAGCGGTACATTGGATCACTGAGGATGGAGACATTGGAGCGTGTGTCAATGCACCGTCAGCGTGGTTTATACAGAAGGTCTGAGCTGCTGTCAGAGGCTGTGCAGAATCTCGGCGCGATTGTGTCTAATTACGTGCAACGCTGGTTAAAAGAAAAAGACACGTCATACATTTTCCTGTGAGATAAAAACAAAACCTAATACGGTGCACATCCTCCTCTGACGACCCCTTTTGTCACGCATTAAAAACGTAATTACAGTTTCAAACCACGAGAACTACACGGCTGGGGAGTATTCTGCAGAACAAGCATAATGTACCGGCTTGTTTCCGCCCAGCGGCCCCTGGCTCGGCTCCCTGGAGCCGACGTGGCACAGAGCAGAAGACTTTCGTTTCTCTCCAGCCTCTGTGCGCCGGGCCGGTCCCCTCATCCTCCCATCCTCTCCCCCTGACATCACCCTCCCCCACGGAGAGAAGTAAGAAAAACTGCTCTGGAAGGAAAAGCCGATGACCTTTGCTCACCAGTCGGGTGGCACCACTGACCTGTGAACAGTGAGCATTTCATGGGACGGAGGAAGCAATCTGCTGTAGGATGCATTGTTATGAATCCTCTGTGTGTGTGTGTGTGTTATGTTGGCGCTGGGCAGTGCCAGCCGGTGTGTTGGCACGCCGCGCTGTAATAATGAGAGTGGGTTGGCAGCCTGGACGTGCCGCTCACCGGGGGGGTGGGCTGAGTGTTACTTTGGACTGGCAGTGATTTAATCAGATCACATTTTAATGGCAATAAAAGCAACAGTGTCTCAAAGGAAACACCTGCTCGCTCTGCCCAGTAGCGTCGTGACACTCGACTGGAGGGGAAAAAACACAAATTCCTTCCTGCACTACTCTTGATTTAAGTCAGCGTGTTTACATGATGGTATAATTCGAATCTTTGCTTAGTCGGACTATGCTATCTTTCGGGGCAAGTGCTATTATCCCAATATACATGGCAGTGAATAAATCGAATCATTGGCCGAAAGCATGTCATATCCGATACGATAGATGGCGCTGTTTTCATTACGACTAGTTGTGATACAGCCATTTCCGCTTGACCGCTTCACCACTACCAACAACAACCACCAACAACAACATCAACATTACGAGAAAGATGGCGAACGGAGAGCAAGGTGAAGCTACATCCCTCTACTATGTTTGCATGATGTTAATAGGAGTACAGCGAATGCGAATGGCGCTATTGGCTGATTTGATAACGGAGAGAAGACGCCCAGTTCCTTATCCGATTCACCGTTACATGCCGCAATAGTCGAACTATCAACTGGATCGGATTGAGTTATCCAGGGGTGTTCATCGGATCGTAGTCGGACCGCACATAGTCGGACAAAGGTGTTTACGTGAAACGGATCATTCGATTTCAGTCCAACTAAGCCAGTTATTTGAATCCATGTAACCACGCTGAGTGTTGCAGTTATGGACTACAAAAGGCACCAAACTACTATAACAGTACAACGCTGATTATTATTGATGTTATGCTGGAAAAATGCACAGACCACTGCTCATTAGAGGATTTTTGTTTATCTTTCTAGTCTTTTCCATCTATGATGAATCTTCAGGTGTGATGATAATAATATAACTACACTGTATGTGTAGCTGCTGCTTATTAGAAGCATTTTCATTACAGCACCATTTGCTCTCCTCCAGTTATTATGAGAACTATGCAAGGTTAATAAATCGTTGGCAGTGTCCCTCGACAGGAGTCTGGTTGTTAGAGTGTGTAACTCACTCCGAGGCGACAGCTGCAGGAATGGGCTCCTCTAGTAACTCCAGACTGTGAAGAATCCAGAAGCAAAGCCACGGTCTGCTGGCATCTAGACACTACATAGACCACACACACACACACACACACACACACACACACACACACACACACACACACACACACGATCAGATGGGCATCAGATGAACAATTGCAGCAGTAAACGAGATGGTGAGATCAGTCAGTGAGACAGCAGCAAACGCAGCAGCAGAGACTCGGCCTTCGGAGACGAAAATGATGAAGAGCTGAGAGACGCAGGGATGAATATCACGTCTTCAGTGTTCATGATCAAAACAATACAGCAGTTGGAGGTCTAATGTGCCGTTTTCTTGTATCACGGCTCAGATTGGAATTTCCGTGGCCAAACATTGCCGCGGTGATCGGACGTGTTATTTCTGCGACGCACACTCGCTTTAGTTTCTACGTCCAGAGAGCGTTGCTCCTTTCACTGACTCGCAGGAACCAAAGCAGCGCCCGAGTGGACGTCGGGGGACGGGCTCGACGGGTCACTGGGTTTATCGCACACTTAAGATGGCCGTGGAAGAGGTTTCGACCCGTGGGATACTGTACCTCGTAAGCATCTGATAGGTGACGTAAGCCCTTCTTGAGATATTGGTAGTGTTGTTCCCGCAACAACGTTGGCCTGAAGAACAAACATAGGACAGAAGGAGCAGTTAGAAAAAGACTCGCAGCTTGAAGGGAAAATGTCAAAACAGACGTCTGAGAAACAAACTCATTTCACACCCTTTGGAGAAAGGAAACTTCTCTTTTCAGATTAAAAAGTACTGGAGAAAGTGTGAGAGAAAGCAGTGAATACAACCGCAGTCAGCTCTTTACTTTCTGTCAACAGGAAGTCATTAGGGTGTAACTTCTTATTAAGAACAACCAAGGAAAATAAAACCAAATAACTATTAATAAAGGGTTAAAGACACTGAAATGCAGAATATTACATTGCTGAAACATTGATGGGTTTGTGTTGTCAGTACTTTTGGTGAGTTTGGGTAAACCTTTGGGACTACTTTGTCTGCTGCACAATACATTCAACATAAACACTTATGTGTTGTCCCACCAAATAATGTAATAAATAAATATATATTCCTGAAAAAACAAGTTTTCCTAACAATGCAAGTAAGTAGGTAAGCATAAGTAATATAATAAATCATCCTGACTAAGATTGTAATACCATTTCTACCGTTGATCCAACCCCTTTTTAGGTGTTTTTTATTTTTAAAGTGATGATATAATAATTTTAACCGGTAATACGGCGGTGCGCCTGTAAGACAATAAAGCCTCAACTAGTGGTGGTGGAAAAAGCCATTTTCAATTTGTTCTATCGTGTCACCTATTGGAGCAAAATTGCATCAGTGTACGCCACGAATAATATTTTCGTGGAAGGCCTAATCTTTGGCTGTGAAAGTAACTTTAATTACCGTGTGCTCCACAGAAACACCAAACGCCAAAGAACGAATGTCATCATGCTCCGCCTACAAAGGGCGGGTCACAGATCGCTGCCCCGCGATTCACGGCTCGACACGAAACACAACAGCAATCGGAAAGGGAGGACGAGGGATAAAAAGCCACCCAGCCCACCCGGTTATGTTGTCAAGAGGACTTCAACTCGGCTTGTTTACATGTCGGCGCGGACAGAGAGGGCGAACAGCGGGAAGTCTAATGCAATATTAAAAACGTTCTAAATGACTTCAAGTGGAATAATGAATAATACCGCTCCACTATAGTATAGAACATCTCCCATTGGCTGCTATAGCAGTGACATTACGGGGCATGCAGTTGTCATAGTAATGAGATGAGTCACCCCGTTAAGAGGCGACTGATGACAGCTGACAGCAGCAAAACGTGGGCTGATCAACACACCCTTTAGATAACAGCCATCGCGCATCACCCTGCGGCCGTCTCTACAGGCGCACAGCAGGTGTTTGTGATCTACAGCAGCCACAGCCAATGAGCGACCTCCTGGGAAATCCCTCCTAATGGCAGTAAATGCGTTCAACGATGGTATGAGCCCTTTAAATAGGTGATCGTCATGACTACAGCCGCACATTATCTGACCAATTTGTTTCCATGGGTTTGAAAATGTACTTATTTTCTAGACTCCTTTTTATAGATATAGATGATGCAGATTCAATTCTCTTTTTAATAAACTTCTCCCATTTAGCATTGCACTCTGAGAAAATTACATGTAATAAAAGATTGTCAAACTCATGGACAGTTTTAAAACCGATGCAGCACATATATCCTCGGACGATTCTTAAAATAATGCACATCTTTTCATATATCAGAGATAATCAGAGAAAACTCAAACTCAACCGCGGTATTTCCTTCAATTTGTTCGACTAGCGCATTTCACTCTGGATACTTACTGTGGTACGCTGTGTATTTGCTTGTAAACACTGATGACTTCTTCAATACTCTGTTCCACTTTTCTCTAGTGGAAAACAAAAGGGCGAGAAAAGAAGTGTTAACATCACAAAAGGTCAGTGTGAGCTAAAGAATAGCAAAAACAAAACTGTGAGCCAACATTTAGTGGAGCTGTCACCAACAGAAAGAGCTGACTGACAATAATTGGATTTAGGCTTCCTTATCCTCCTGGTGCAGATGTTTCTATGTCTCTCACAGCTTAGCCAGTCCTACGAGGGGACACTGGAGGTAGTCGTGGGCCGGGCTGCGTCTCCGTTGATGATTTGTGGGGAGGATGATCGTTTTTTTGTTTGTATGTTGTTGTTTTTTATATTGTCTGGTGGGTGTGTTTATGACCCTGACAAACAGTACCTTAAGGTTAAGACTGTAACCCTAAGAAGTGTGAACGGGCATAGACCGGGCACAGGAACTCCAATTACATTTCTGAAAAGAGACACACGTTCAATTTCACTGCCTACAAAATACCCAGAGCGCCGTTAGGACTTCGACTGTGGGATGGATTGCAGAGTGGGTGGAGGCCCCGGCCTCCCCTTCAAGCAACAGGACGGAGGCACCTTAATCAGAGCAGGTGTGCAGAGAGGCAGCTTATAGGTCCGGCAACGTGGACGTGGCTCATTTCGGAGGGAAAGAAAGTGAGCAGTTCGAGCCCCTCCTCACAGATGTGGGACCCACTCGACTTTGTGTCCCGGCGGATCTGGTTTAAATGGAGTTTCCCCTTCAGGTGAGAGGTGGGCAGTGATGAGGGGGAAAAGGTAACTGGCAGTAACTTAGCTGTACAGGTGCCTGATACTAAAACAAAATGTAGAGGTTCTCTCGCGGGTCAAGTAAGGTTAGATCCATTCATAAGCAATCTCCTGTAATAAAGTATTATTATGCCAATTACAATATCTGATTAGCTAATACAAGCCGACAATCCTGGACTCCGAGGCCGATGTCTGGCCAACAAACAACGAGAAGGGGTCACTATACTCTCAGGGGTCTCTTACTTAAAAGGCCCGTGTTTGAATCCAATAACACACTAACTCTGGATCAATACATATCTCATTTATTTGGAGCTTTTTTCCCATTTGGAGTCTCGTTAGTTCACATGGCGGCGTCTCGGGTTTAGCCAACAGCTAATTGAATTAATGCCTAATCCCATTATAGTAACATTGAAGATGCTAGCTAAAAGTTCTAGTTCGCTGACCAGCTAGCTATGAATGCTTATAATTATCAAGCATGCGTCGAATACATGGGCTGATTCATAACAATAAGAACTAAGAAGTGTTGAGTTTTATTTTCAATCACTTTTCCAGACCTGAAGAGCAGCAAACTCCACTAACATTAGCATGAGCCCCCTCCCCTAACGCCGATCCTCTTTGCCTCCCCTCACCTGCTCCACAGAAGTCACCGTTTCCACGCCGTCATCCGCGAACTTTTCTGCCGGGTGGCACTCATTGAAGCACCGCAAAGGCGTCGGTAAACCGTCCATGTTGATTTGAGGGAACCGTTAGCAACAGGGGTGCGGAAAGTGTGGCGGAAACTACGCGATGACCCACTACGGTGTCTCCAAGAGGACGATCTTAATCGCTGAAAAAACCCGATACGCGCAGCCTCTTGAGTCGAAAGTGAGATTTATTAGGTAACGGCAGGGTTAACGAGTAATTTAACGTAAAAACAATACGTTGTTTTTAATTGGCGATACGTCGCCAACATCAAGAAAAACGAGGACAAGCTCACCGCGCGCTTTCTCTCGCGAATCTATAGTGCATCAACAAAATACCGGAAATGGTATGTCTTTGCCTTCAAAATAAAAGTGCATTCAAACGTCAATTTCCTGCCAAATCTTAGATAAAGCAACATATAAAATGTATAATCGTCACTGATGCTTCAGAATAAAATGTCCTTTTTTAAGTACATAAAAAAGGTCCTTCAAGTGTGGATATCTTTAGTGCAGGATGGGTCACCCTGATGTGTCATTTGCTTTTATGCTGGAGAGAACCCCACCGGAAGTCTCTATTCTTATCGGGTCGTACTTGACAATGGTCCACCGCACCCACTGGAAGCTGGAGGCTGCACGCGGAGCCTGAGCATCCCCGTTTAGTCGCCCAGCGTCACTTAACAAAAAGACACAGAAGCAGCGTCGTCAACGCCTCATGTGGACCACCTGAGCAGACATGGGAAGCAGCCGGGGAAGGATCAGTCATCCGTCGCCGAGTTAGCTGACTGCCATTTTAATTATTAATGAATTAATAATTCAACTCTACATCCGAACACCATGGCGAAGCAGTACGATGTGCTCTTCCGACTCCTGCTCCTTGGAGATTCCGGGGTTGGGAAAACATGTTTGTTGTGCAGATTCACGGACAACGAGTTTCACCCGTCTCACATCTCCACAATCGGTAAGACTCTGCCTTACCACCACGAGTTAATTCAATTGCATCAGTCAATTGCGTTAATTAACAGCCACATATTTTCGCCGGGAATTTCTAACGTTTCATGTCGTTTGCGCGTAATTCTCTCCCTGTCGTCATTGCATTGTATATTTAAATTCTGATCCACTAAGTGGTTCTGGTGCGTTGTTCACCCACAATAAAGAAGTGTCGACTATAAAATCAGTGTGATTGCATTGGTTGGGGTGGGGGGTCCAACACTTGGCAGCCATGCAGATGAGTTAACAGCACACTAACCAGTACCATTAAAAGTGGCAAAGCCACTTTTCATATTTGGGGATAAGCTGCTTTTTGACAGTTTTAATTTACTCCGTTTTAATAAGTAGAGTTAGATGCCTGTAATATTTTGTATAATTTGGTTTTAATGTTTGTTTGTAAAAACAAACCAACACACACAACCTTTTGTGTGATTCAGTCTCCATTGCTCCCTGCCAAGCCATGACACAAGTGGTTTTGTTAAATGAATTTGATAGATTGAAGGTTATTGATTTTTAATTCAGTGTATACAGAGCAAACCTTGTAGCATTTTGGTCATGGATTTAAAACTTACCTGAACTATTCACCTCTTCCCTCATAGTAAACATGGGCTGTGCAATCTACCTCCATGGTTAGGACAGAACATGAACCTGACGAGCACATTATCGTGCTTCACTTTGAGGTGAGGGCAATGAGGAAGGACAATAAACGCATTTACTCTTTTTTTTTTTTTTTTTTTCTTTTCCGTCACATAGTGCAATTGTCTCTCATCCGTGGGTGTATCCGGTTAATGGAGAAGTTGTGTCCTAGTTGGCTTCTATTGTTTGTGGTAGCAACTATTTTCTGACATAGTAGTAATTGGATGGAAGGTGACGTGTCGGTACCAGTGTAGCTTGAGATAAGCTGATGTCAGGAAATGCTCTTCCTGGATTTGACAGATTTTTTTCTTTTCTTTTTTTTTCTAGTCGAAAATATCTGCCTGAATAAGGTCGTGAGAATAATTATGAAGCTGGTTGTCAAGCTGTAATTTGCAGGCAGATGTTGCTCAAAACGTCTTCAGGGAAATAAAGCTGATTATTCAAGGTTCATGTTAACATCATTTATAAACATATTCCAGCCAATGATGCGTTTGCATCGCTGTTATTATGGTCAATTCAAAAGCTTTCTGATGCCCAAGCTCTCTGCAAACCAACTAACCCACATCCACAGCAGGAGGCTCAAGTTTTAGACTCCTCTGCTCGTCATTCTGCATTTAACTGCCCTTTTTTTTGTCTATTCCTCCCAGTAGTCCTATTTATATAATTGCAATCATGTCTGCATGTAGTCATCTTTGTTTCAGCTTTTGCTCAAAATAAGTGTTAAAAGGCAATAGAATACAGAAAATGCATTCAGAGGAATAGTTGTGAGCAGCAGACTCTAACGGATGCGCGATAGTTTAAACTGATCCCTGCAGATGAAATCTGAACCTATATGACCAGCAAAGACTGCGAGACCATACATTTTTGGACTGCCACAAAGTTTGAACAATACCATCTAAGATATTATTGGATTTTCTAGCATCAAGATTTGGCTCAAACTATGACTGGGTTTGAAGTTCTCTTTTTCATGTTAAATGCGGCTTCTCGTGGCCAGTAATAATAAAAGGTATTTTACAAGCTTCATAAAATACCGGTAGGTAGGATGTATATAGTTATCCCTGAGGCCTTCAGACAATCAATTTCGGAAGAGTTGGTCGAAACCACAGCTTTTTGACATGAGTGGGACACTGAAATCTAGATAACAATGAATGGCACATCTGGCTAAATAGTGGAATCCACAAAGAACTACAGCTCACTAAAATAAAAGCTCAACTTTCAGTCTCCATTATCAGAAAAATCCCTCTCGTCCAAAAATGTTTTGAGGACACCCCCTCACTCGTCCGGTTATCACACTTTATTTTAACAAGTCACTCCGTTTTTCGAAGACTTCAGTCTTGGCCCCCGAGTGCACGTTTCTGTGACACTGAGCAGCTGCTGAGGTGATTTATTAATGCTTTTCAGTCACACTGCTGACTTTAATCTTCCTAACCGTCCCTGCTCGGAGCTCTTTGCTGTCTCTGCACCTGAAGTACGAGCCCAGCCGCTGCCCTAACTCACCGCTCAACAAGCGTCTGTCCTCCGAGTCGCGATCCCAGCGGTGTTGTGGTCTCTAAGGGGCCGGACAATGGGACACGTCCACCGCACATCTCAGGGTTATCCTGAGGTTATCTCAGTTTACATTGGAAACATGAGTTTATAGTGTCAATCACTAGTGTAAAGTCTCCTTCAATACACCAGGATGTTAATCCAAAATATGCCCTTGTTTTAGAATCAAAAAGTAAGCAGGGTGTCCTTTTTGTTGCCCACCTTGTGTTTGACTGGCTGCCACCACGCTGTTGTCTGTGTGTCAATCCCCCAAATACTCACCTCAAGGCCTCAAATGGCCGTCCACAGACCCATTCCCGGTGTACTAGTGCCAGGGCGCCCATCCGTCCATTAGTGAGCCTGTCACAGCACACCGACGTGTGTTGCCGCCTTGTATCGTGGAACCCTGCTAATGTGTTAAGGCAATTGGGTGTGTACCCATTAGCTTGTACATGGCTTTCACACTGCTGATTGTGAAAGGCTGCCACCTTAAGTTAACATCGGCCTGTCCTTGCACATTGTGCTCTTCTCCATTGTCACAGTTCCTTCCGAAGAGGAGCGGGAATAATTACTTTGGTTTCAAAACAAGTCTTTGATTTAAGTGTTGGAAGCCAAGACAACTGACTCATTTCTTTTAAGCATTTATTTTGCAGTGAAAGCAAATTTTAAGCACATAAGTCTCATGCAGATTGACAAATTGTTGCAGAACTTCCGCTGTTGTGATGAACACCCAGATTCAGTAAAATATCAAACAGTCTGCTGCGTCATTCCTTTTTTTGCATTGTAGTAAGAACACCTGCTTCAATAAAAGGGCCTCATTTGACTCAACTGAACAAAACAAGCAGACAATGTGGACTGGAGCGTCTATTTGTTTCGTCAATATAGCTGATTAGAATACGGGTGGATGAAATCCAGTGTGTATTGAGCATTTTAAATACAACATTTCCACTCTAAATTGATTTAGATTTTTTTTTTTATTGGTCGTGTTGAATGCAAATTACAAAATACTCAAGTCATTGAAATACGTAAATACAAGTAATAGAAATACTGCCCATTTCTGTGTACATGAGTTTTGTCTCTTTTAAAGTACTTTAATGTCTACTTTACATGATGAAACTAACAGTTGGCAACCTTGACCCAAGAGTGCTTTTAAATAGCTGATGTATCTTAAAGAAGCAGAATACTCTTGACCCATGAAGGAACATCCTTCCTCTCCCAGTTTATCACAAAGATTGAAAATCCCAAACTTGATAAACACAAATTTATTTAGAATATTGATAAAGAAATCACTTGTATCAGTTTATGTGCTGATTTGGTGGGATGGCCCTCAGACTAAATCACGTTTGTTCCAGCCACCGTGGTGATTATCCTACTTTTTATGTGTTTTGTGTTGTTAACCGGAAATACGAGCCAATGGATTGTTTGGAATTCTCCAATGCAACGATGTGCCATTGGGCGGCGCTCTTTCAAGATGGATAGATCGATATGTTTATGCTAATTTGTTTGTGTTACAATACATTTTGAATATCAAATTTCGAATTGGGAGGGAAAAAAGGACAAATGAATCAAACGCAATCAATACTTATTATCAATTATCAATTCTCCAAACATGACACCTGACAGACGTACTTTTATCTGTACTCAATCAATTTATTCCCAAAGCCTGATGAAAAGGATAATTGAAAGTTACTGGGGGAATCCCCAACATATACACGTATACAAATTCATAAGTGTTATCAAACCATTTAATTTGCCTTATACATGTTTTCCTTCTCAAAAGGGTTCGGCCACATATGCACACCAGTGACGTAGCGTCAGGTAAAGATCGTTTAATTTAATAAACTTATGTATTTTACTGTTCTTATAATATATGCAATATGTGTGTTATTCCAATTGTCTAGACGTTACGATGACAAATATAGCCCACGCATAATCAAAAAGAAATAATCAGCGCCGTCCATTCATTGCGAATAAGGGAAACGTACACGTACGGCGAAAATCACAACTCTGCTGTGCCTTTTGACGTAAAGAGGTTATGCAAGTAATCATCTACGTTACGTATCAAACATGGACTAATGTTGATACGTATGGCTGACGTCCGTAAACTTAATCCCCGCGAAATCGCCACCGAATCTAAGTAATAACTACAGGTGTGTAGAGAGAATAGTAATGATATGTCATCCTGATTACCAAATGAATTAGTAATTTGGCTCCAACCTTTTTATAGTTGCATTAAGTACTTTAGTTTTCACGTTATTGGGTCTGAAAGACGCTGCCACATTGCATTGTGTAAATGTCAATGTCAATTTTATTTATACAGCACTTTTAAAGGCCAGTGGCCAGCCAAAGTGCTTTACAGGATAAAAACTACACAAGCAAACGTAAAACAAACAAGCAAGCAAAAAATAAAATAAAAATAAATAAAAATAAACAGTAAAACGGTAAAAGGCAAACTCATAAAAGATCAATGCAGGTGGCTTAACTCAGCCAAAGGCCAATGTGAACAAGTGAGTCTTAAGGCGAGTTTTAAAAGTGAAAGGCTCGTCGCAGACCGCACAGAAAACGGCAAAGCATTCCACAGTCTGCCGCTACTGCGAAGGCTCGATCTCCTTTTGTTTTAAGGAACGACTGAGGAACGTTTAGAACCAGATGGTCAGCTGACCTCAGGGCTCTGGAGGGTTGATGCACATTAATAAGGCTGGATAAATATTCTGGGACCAGTCCATGCAGGGACTTAAAAACCAATAAAAGACTCTTAAAATCAATTCTGAACCTAACCGTAAGCCAGTGGAGAGAGGAAAGCACTGGCGTTATGTGCCCATGCTTCTTTGTTCCGGTTAGGAGACGGGCTGCTGCATTCTGCAATAGCTGTAGACGGTTGAGTTCTGATTGGCCGATACCGACATACAGGGAGTTGCAATAGTCCAAGCGCGAAGATATAAAAGCAAGCATGACTTTTTTTGAGGTCAGCCCTGTTTAGATGGGTTTGACTTTGGCTAGAAGCCGAAGCTGGAAGAAGCTAGCCGTAACCACAGAGCTGACCTGCTTGTCTAATTTAAACGCCCCATCAATAATCACACCAAGGTTTCTGGCCTGGGAACCTATGTGAGGTGCTAGTGGGCCACGGGACCTGACGACGATCAAGCGTGTCAATGGCATTATGGGTTAATGTTGTTGTTAACCCAAGCGAGACGCTTGGACGCCTAACGCTGTTAATGTGTCCTGTGTTGTTGATGGAAAATAAGAGCCACTAGTTCCTTTTAAATGATTGAAATCAATGATGATGGGATTTCTCTCCCAAAAGTCACTGACATGCCCCTACGTCACTGCACGTACACGCACCCTTTGGCGTGTGTTTTGACAGATTTTACATATTCTGGCTCGTCTGAACTAGATGCAATTACAGACTAGTAACCTACCGATACCTAGAGCGTCACTGCTGCCTTTCGGAAGGCAGGAGGCGCTCGCACAGCTCGGAGGAAGCACCACACCAGTCGACCAACTATTGGAGGAAGATGGTAAGGTACTGCTGTATAGGAGTTCTCTAGGTAGACAACTGTGCCTCGACTAGTGGTTTCAGTCACGTTTTTTTCAGTCACTTTTTCTGGATGGCTTGGTAACGTCCCAGCATTGCGGGTAATGACCTGTAAGCAGCGGCGACATGTCACTTACTGACCTCAGCAAACGTCACTGGAACGCGGCACGTGGTGCCTAGAGAATAAGGTCATTCTGAGTTCACCTGACCTGACCTCCCCGTACGGTGACAGCACAACGTAAAATATGTATAATACGTTCAATTCATCCCACAGAAATGATTCAAATTCACATATTATCTCCTCATATGCGTTCATGATCATTTCCTGCTCGTCAGCGGAGAAAAAAGACGCTCTTCCTTTAAGTTTGTTTGCCGTTATACTGTTAAAAATCCTTTTTTCGTTGATCGACTCTTCCGCCTTCTAAAGTAGGACGCGCACGCGCCATTATCCTGATGATTGACATCTGGTTCAAACTAACGAGGATGTGTGAGCGTTACTTTTTTTGTGTTACTTTTTTTTTGACGTCTACTGCACGTCTAATGTTCATGTCCGTGGGACCTCCATATAAGGGCTATTTATAGTACAAATGTGGTCGTTTTAGACGTCTTTTCAACGTCAAATTTAGACTAATTTTAGACGTTTTATACTAACTAAGAGGTAGGGGACATGTTTTCTGTACCAGTTAATTTCCTTTTGTTTAGCTAACGCAAAATAAAAATGTGTGTCGTTAAGGCATGCTTTGCCATTCGCTACGAAATAGGGCATGGACATAGAATGCATTAGGCTTATAGAACTTACCTTCAACTTAGAGGAAATTCACGCTGAATCGTGCCAAATGTCTGGCGTGTAGCCTTGACCAAGTGGCGTTTACATGATGTGTGTGCTTCAGCCAATCAGAGTGACGTTGACTGGTTTTCAAATGACATTACATTCATGTCATTTAGCAGACGCTTTTATCCAGAGGGACTTACATCACACATTTAAACCCATGGCTTTTTCACATTTTTGCCTGGGGAGCAATTAAGGGTTAGGTGTCTTGCTCAGGGACACTTCGACATGGAACATGGGGCAGCCTGGACTCAAAACCACCAACCTTGTGCTTCCCAGCCCACCTTCTCTAACCCCTGCGCCACGACGACCCATCTCTGGTTGAAATCCAAAGCCTGTCCTCGGCTGTGACTTTTCTGCTGTTGTTGGTTATTTTGAGATCAGTGGCCAAAGCCCCCCCTCTCGGCTACTTCGAATGTATTTATTAATTTAATAAAATTAAACATTTTTTTATTATTAGTTTTGTTCAGTAGGTTTTTTTCACTAAAACAGGAAAATTACCCACTGAATAAATAAATAAACAGCCTGTCATTGACGTCCAGATGACGTCCACAAAAATTACCCGCTTCGAAGGTCAAATTTTGAACGTAAATATGTCGTCCAAGTTGGGTCATGGTTGGACGTCCAAATAGTGGACCTAGTATGGACGTCGAATAGATGTCCACAATTGGTCAGGGACCGACGAACCCAATATAGACATGATCTGCACGTCTATCCGACGTCCCATGTTTAGTGGGATAATTTGAGCTGGATAATCGGACATTTGATCGACTTAGTTGAACCACGTACGAGGAACATGATCTTGAAAAACCTGGTATTTACCAACTGCAAAGACAAAAAGGACAAAAAGAACCGCTGCATCAGAAACCCATTCAATACTTAAATCAATTCTCCCAACTTGACGCCTGACATTTGTTAACAAATGCCATTTTAAATTAATCACATAGCACTTGGTTGTTGTTTAGCTGTACTTAGATGGGGTGTATATATTTACTTAACTTGCACTACAATGATGGTAATTATTCAATGAATAAGCTTCAAGTGAACATGGGGGTGTGTTTGTGAGGGAGACTGTGAGGGAGACTTATATTTTTATTTTCTTTTTTAATAAATGATTGTGTTCAAGGAGCAACCTGTATTTTTGCAATGTGAATTTGCAGTTCTGTTTTAGAATAAAGGGTTTGAAATTAAACTTTTTAATGCTGTTTTTGTTTTATCTGATTCATTGAAGAAATAATCGACCAATTAATTGAAAAAATAATCGTTTGTTGCAGCCCTAGTCTCAATGCTCTCTAGGCAAAGGCTGCATCACCACTTAAACGAGGCCTTACACTGTGGAGTCAGTGCAGTGCAAGCCGTCGAGTCTCTCCTTGACTCCAGCTTGTTTTTGAAGAGCTCTGAAACTTACCAGGCCGCCAATAGCTCAGCTGTTTCTGCAGAGACGCCCCCCCCCCACAAACAACAGTTCTGATATGAATCGATTGGACTCGGTAGCTCTTTCTCTGACGCCGATGTTGGCTGTGACAAATGCAGAGCGGCGGGTTAATTGGGATGAACTGTTAATGGATTTCTTGGGGATTCGTGTGGTCTCTAGAAGCCCTAAAACGAGTGTTTTACTCCAAGGAGACGGTCCAACGTCTAAAAAAAGAGAGCAGAGTGGAGCCATTTCTTTTTGGACAACTTGACATCTGTCCAATAATCAGTATTTATTTACCCCCGCTCCCTCATTTCAACTCCTGTGTGATGCAAGAGAAGAACTGAACGGCTGGATCATCATCCCCATCTCCTAACAGGCTGATTCTATCAACGTTGATCCGCCCTGTGATGGTACAAAGCTGCAGGGTGTAGTGGTGACCCTCCGTCTATAGAAGACGCGCCGGGTCCATCGATTTCAGTCAATAACTGAGATGAAAGCCAGAACGTTTAGTCTGAGTACATTTGCAGCTCCTCTGTGATGTTGTTGTGTTCCCTTACCGTTTTCTTCCTCTCTTACAGGAGTCGACTTCAAAATGAAGACGCTAGTAATAGATGGTATCAAAGTACGGATACAGATATGGTAAGACTGTGGCTTCGCTGGAAGACCTTGTGCAGGAGATTAAAAAATGTTGTTGGATATTACACAGTAAACCGTTGGATGGAGGGATGATGAATCATTTTTAAATCTAGAGACACGCCTGAGTACAAGGGTTTCACATTGGACAGTGACAAAATCTAAATAATTAAACGTTGAGATGTCTGAATATCTTCAGGGATGTGGAATCATAAAAAGATGTAATGCCAATGTTCATATCAGTTTGTTTTCTCTCCAGGGACACTGCGGGACAAGAAAGGTACCAGACCATCACTAAGCAATACTACAGACGAGCACAGGTAGTCCACCTCCACTCTCTTCACTGACTCAGACCCCAAAGACCTTTAACTTGTGAGACTGTTTCACGTGTCTTACAGTGTTATGTGCCGGTTAAATGGGTCAAAATGCCTGAAATGAAATTGTCCATTTACCAGAAACTTGTAATGATATTACATCCGGTTCCTGTTTTGTGTTTTTACAATCTGCCAGTGGCTTACAATGAAAAATAAATTGTTGGTAGAGACTATTAATTTAAAGTGGTGGTCTGTTTTATGTAGAATAGTATATATTTTTCCAAATGTAGTCATTTAGTCATGCTTTAAAATGCACTAGTTCTTTCTTTTTTTAAAGCCATGTAAATCTCTGTTCAGGGAATCTTCCTGGTGTATGATATCACGAGTGAGCGATCCTTCCAACACATCATGAAGTGGGCCAGTGATGTGGATGAGGTGAGTCACGGAGGTTGGTGATTAAACCGGCAGCACTGAGGTTCAGGTTGACCAGGAACAGCTGCTTTACACGGTGTGAGAACCACCAAATGCTGAGGCCCGACGGATGATGCTTTACGGTGTTTGTTGTGCTCCATCCTCCCTTTCTGATATCTGTCTGAATGTTTGTTTTCCTCAGTCACATTTTTCTGTCCGCTTCAAAGGCTCCAGGAAGCAATCTTGTCTGATTTGCTTCCCGCTGTCGTTTCCCCAGATGACTTTATTCTATTAATTTAGTCATGATGGACCTAATTTCCTCTATGGGTCCGTCTGAATATACACTCTGAAGATCTTGGCACATTTGCAGTTTACTTTTAATCTAGTTCTCATTTCCTGAGTGCTGTGTTTTCTCCCCTTTGCGAGCTTATGACATTTGAAATATCCTCTTTTTAATTTTGTTTTCTTTCGTTCTTTCTTCACATTCCCTTGACAAACCCCTGCAGTACGCTCCTGAGAAGGTCCGGAAGATACTCGTAGGGAACAAGTCAGATGAGGTGGACAAGAGGCAGGTGGCCACGGAGCAAGGAGTCAAGGTGGGTTAGTCTCATAATGGATTAATAATAAAAATTATACTTTATAATTATACGTTGTACATATGGCTTTTCTAGATATCCAAAGACACTTTACATAGGGCCTTCCTTAACACGGTTTAAAAATAATGTTTTAACATTTATTATGATGCTGTTTTTTCTGTGAGAAATTGGTTCACTGAGCACTCGAAGCCATTTGGGTTCCGTGAGAAAACTGGCTCAAATTTGAGGAAAAGCGTGTTGCCACTTTATGGAAGAAATGCAGTTGGATGTCCTAGACATTTTATGTGCTGTTACGAGCGACAGTGCTCCCATAGTCGTGCATCGGCCAAACAAAAAGCTGCCTGTTAGGACGGAGCTGAGGGCTCGGCCGCCCGTATTCTCTCTCCAGAACCGCTCGTCGTAAAACAACTTCACCCAGTCGAGCAGACGAATGCAAAAAGAAAGGAGAGACTGATATAAATGTAGACAGACTACTTGCATTTTAGTTTGATTCCAGCTGAACAACCACACTGTCACCACAAATCACTGCGCTTGGCTACTCGAGATGCAAAATGTTGCCAGTGTTGTTTGGCTGAATGTTGAACTTTGGAGAGATCGAGGCTCTCTGTCTGATCCCGCTTCACTTTTTAAGCTAAGCTCGACTAACTCTTATCATTATTGCACATAAGAGATGTAATCAAGGCAGCAAAGTCCACGAGCTTCTTTACCAAAATGTTCAACTTCCTCAAAACGCGTATAATCGTTTGTTATAATCATCATAAAGCCGACAGCCCGCAGATCACACTGCACATGTGTGGAAGGGGATGACATTCAGTTGTTGTTGTTGTTGTTTTCTTAAGTCAATGCTTTACTGATGTCTGTCTCACAGCTGGCCAAGGCTTACGGGATGGATTTCTTTGAGACAAGTGCCTTCACCAACCAAAATATATCCGAGGTGAGATGATGTTATGACCACGTACAGAGCAGCATTACAATCTAATGTACAATACATGTAGAGATGGTTACGGTGGGAGGGAGGGACCTGATTGAATTCAATGTCGTTGCACTCAGACGAAGAATTTGAAGGTCTGAGGGGCCCAGTCGAAATCGACCTCACAACCCTTGTGTCAGTGTTTCCAACCTGCGTTTTGAAGCATTACCTTGATTGAAGACTAAAAAAAAAAGATGTCTTTCAACCTGTGTCTGTGTCTCCCTCGAAGACTTTCACACGATTGGCTGAACAGGTGCTGGCAGCTAATAAAAAGGACCTGGATCTTCTCCGGATGTCTGTCAATGACGAGATTAATCTTGCCGCTCTGGAGGAAGAGGAAGGACTCTGTGACAGCGAGGCGGCCGACCGAGGCAAAGGCTGCTGGTGTTAGAGAGACAATTCAGATCTGATCGTCTGTTACCACTGGACACTTCGCACACTAGGCAAAACGTTTCTTTTTGTCGTTAGTTGAAATAAAGTGAAGCAATTTTTATTCCTTTGTTCCATGTGCCAAAAATGCTAGCGAGCGGCTTCGAGGACAAAGGTGCGTGTGTGTGCGGTGGACTAACCAGCGGAAGCTTCAAATGTCAAGGTTTCCCTCGGTGGGACAGAATGTTTATTGTCTCTGGCTGAGTTCACTTGTTGTCTATAATGTAACCAAATACATTTCCATGTCCTCTACATATTCTGCAATCGAGATACAGCCAAAAGGACTTAACACAAAGATACGATTGCAGAATCGTTTCATACTGTGTTTGAAAATGGAGAATGAATTATCGACCACTGAACCACTTGAAATTTTCCACAATGTAGTATTTTGTTTTCCAATCTCTTATATTGATCATGGGGCCTGTTGCCTTTCAAATCAACAAGGCGGTTGATTCCATTCGGCCTTCATTCAACCTATCCGTGTTTTCCTTTCTATGTAGGAGTATATTCTATGAAGCTGCAGCCACCGCCTTTTCTATTGGTCAATGCGTTAGATGTAGTGTAAGAACTCGGCCACAAGAGGGTGCTACGTGCATTGTGAAAAGAGCTCACACACTGGAGCGTCGTTCTGTTAAATAATGCTCACGTTTCTTATTTTTGGTTTTTGGTTCTAATTGCACGTGCAGTTACTCCATTTAAGGCAATGAAAGGATTCTCAATATATGCAGACAATATTATTTATCGGGTAAGTAAATACATTTTGCAGCTTGTAATATCATCTACGTAAGACCGCACAAGATATTCAACTTTCCTGTTGCAAGATGATGAGCTTTTTCATGTTATCTGTGTCTATGAAAATATATAGCACAACGAGTTTAAAAACTGCTCATTGCATTGTACATACCAGGTTTTTCAAAACATTTGATATTTGTAGAACTATGAAGGTATTGGGTATTCATTTAATGTACTATAGGGTGGTATCTAAAAAAAAGTGCACAGTGATATTCTGGTCTGAAATGCCCTCCTTTCCCTTTGAAGATATTTACTTGGTGGTCCTTTTCTTGCCGTTTTGTCAGAGTCCAGTAAGGTTCCCCATCCACCTCTTACTTAAAAGGGGACAATTGAGGGTTTTGCATGCAAGTTCACGCTTCTTTCCTTTGTTTTATTGCAGCTTCAATGAAGCGAATCGTTAACTGACCATACAAGAATAGCATTTGACCAGAGTTGTCTGTTTGAGACCCAAACAGAATCCCTATCACTAAAAAACATTTGGCTACAATTTTTTTAAATTATTTATTACTAAATGCTATTCAAATCAGTTGTGGTCTGTGCACAGTGTAGAATGATAATATGTTGTACTGAACGATGTGCTGTTTTCAAGAATTCGTATCCTTTCCTTTAGACTACTTCAACTTGTATTTGTGGAAATATATTACATGCAACATGTGAATCTTGGAGGAAAGATGTCTGATGTATCTGAGTAAATACTTGCACATATGACTCGTCGTCATGCTTATACAGAGACCCGGTATTCCCGGTACTTATTTCCTTGTGTAACACAAAGGCACTGAGTGTTTTAACATCGCGGTGAACTCAAACCCGATGGTGTTTCATCATATAGTTGAATATAATATGGTGGATAGATGCAGATTCTCAAAACTTGTATTACTTCCTCATTGGCCGACTGGATTCGATTTTTTTTTCTGTTTGTTTAAGTGCCTCACACTATAAGAGAACACTTTATGTGTTTATAGCGCCAATTATTAGTCACTCATAGGGTTACGGCGAAAATTACAACTCTGCTGTACCTTTGCAAGTTATACAAGTAAGCATCTGCGTTACGTTTCACATGGACCAATTAAAATCGAGATATTGCTGGACATTTGCGCGGTGACGTCACTACGCCAGCCACGTTGTAAGGCTAATCCCCGCGAAATTCAAAGTCAATATGACGGCGGTGTTCAACGATATCACCGATCTGAGACGAGTTTACACCGCTGCGATCGACGTCTTCACGAGGAAACAGCGGCGGGTGGATTTTACGTAGAAATAATCGACTGATCGGTGAGTCAGAAACTAAACTTCGGGGTTAATATTGAAGTGTGGTGCTGACGGTCCGACCGGCGACCGGTACCCGGCGAGGGGGCGGCGCTGACGGTCTGGCTGGATGCATGTCACAGCCGCCTGGTGGTGCTGGACAGCGAGGTGCAGGATCATCCGGATCAAGCCCACCTACTGATGGACCAACTCAACCGACCGCTGCAGCTGTATCAAAACGCAGCGTAAATGGTGGTCCTACTACAAGCTGTAAGAATCTTGAGATCTAGTTCTAAACATCACCGCCCCCACCCCATTGCATTGTGGGTAATGACGTGTCCACTATAATTAGCGGCGATATGACACTTACTGACCTCACCAAACGTCACTGGGACGTTTAGTTATAGGCCCCGAGTCCAAACATAAGGCATGTGGAAGTCGGCTGACCAGCTCGCGGCCAGCCTCCTGGCCCTGCAGCCAGGAGGCTGTCGCGAGCTGGTCTGGCCGCAAAGATTCGGTCCCAAATTGAAGATTCGGTGTGTGAGTGCCAAAATTCAAAATTGGGTTGCCAAATTTCTGAGATTTGGGTGAGAGCCAAATTTCGGTGGGTGGTGGGAGGGCAAATATGTTTAATGAAATAATCAATCCCAAATTCCACTAGTGAACACGTTCATTTCTTATTCTCATATGAATAGGATTACACTTTTGTTCATTTTCGTCATTACCCACAATGCAATGGGGGCAAACCGTGACTGAAACCAAAAATCTTCAAATCAAAAGAAAACCTTTTGTACTATATCAATTACTTAAAACCTTGTACATGTAGTTATGACAATTCTCAAAAAATGTCATGGCAGTGTTCCCTGTCAATCGCATGAATAGTGAACAGGTGATTCACTCTAAGGGCCACGTGAAATATTACATGGAGGCAATGGAGAAAAGAGAATCAATTAATTTCTTAATTGTTCTTGCCTAGTGAGAAACATGTCAAATATTCTACAGTCAAAATGTCTGAATGCCATGAAGCCATACAAGTCATTTTCCTTATACCGCAGCATTTGACCAACATTATTTCTTATCATCAGGGCCCTTTGACCTCTTGGGCCTAACCGTTCCATTTTGGATGGAAGTGTGACAAATAAACCACAATTAATGAAAACAAACGTCTGTATTCATAAACTCTCATTACGTACTGCTTAATAAACACGTGTTCCCTCTTCCCTAAAATAAATATAACAAGATTATGCAACAATGGTTGCAAATGAACCATAAAAATCACATAAAATGAACTGCATTAAATACATCTGTACTAACCTGGCTAAATAAAATAAACAGTTTAATATAATTAAATAAATGGTTAAAATACACGTATTCTGCCACCAAATGTTGGAGACTTTTGAGAAAAATCAAATTGGATTTACAATTTGGTACAACTCGTAATGTTGTGTTTAACTCACCTCTGGACTGATCTCTCTAAGTTCACATGACCGTATAGTACCTGTTTATTCAACTTAGCAATGTAAGTTTGCTGGCTTGGCCGCCTAGCTGACCGACTGGCAAGGTGGTGGGTCGGGCGCCGGCCGGTCAGCTAGGTGGCTGGGTGAAGCCAAATATGTTCAATGAAATGACCAATCCCCAAACCTTGTACGTTGTACACGCATTTAGGAGATCGTCAACGCGTGACCATTGAAAAATAACACAGCAATCTAGTGGCTCGTATTTCCCGTCAATAACACAAAACACATAAACAGTGAACAGGTAATTTTACTACATCCACAATATATACAAAAAGTGCAATATTAAATGAAATTACATTGATGCAATAGAAATAGAAATATATGCAGACAAAAGCATTCTGCGTCTTTCTTTGAACCGACACAACGAATCGATAATGAAATTCGTTGCCAACGCTTTCAATAATCAAATTTTAGCAATTTCAGCGATTCTTGTTCTCTTTAAGGATTGTGTGTTGTCTGATATTAAAACAACCGTTGTAATTGTCCAGTTATTAAAATGTCTGCTTTTTCAAGTACACGTTGTGGAATTACTCAACAGGTATTTATTATTACTATTACCTTAAATTGGCCGGATAAAAGTATTTGTAGATGTGACTTGAAATGAATAAAATTTTAGACAATTATACAAGTCTCTTTTACTGAAATATTCAGTGTAGGAAATATTCCATCATATACGTGCTCACTAATGTAATCTGGGATTGATTATTTCATTGAACATATTTGGGCCCCCCACCATTGTGCCACCATCCTGAGCGCGTAATTTTAAATTTTGAGCACGGAGAACTATATTTTAGCAAAGAAAAACATATTCCGTGCGCGCAGTTTACTCAGGTGCCCTCTCCACAAACTGGTTTTCTGCGCGCAGGCAGCCGTTGCTGCGCTCTCTCCACCTATTCGCTCTGCGCTCGCTCGACTTGCAGCAGCGTTACATTTGTGCCACAAAACCAACCAATCAGAGAACTAAAGAAGGTCCATTGTGATTGGCTGTTGGTCTTCAATCACAACGCTAGTAGGACTACCTACAGCATCGCGGAAGCTCAGCGAGTTGTTGAAGTTTGCAGCATTTGTGCTAAATGCTAATGGCCTGGATTAAAACACTTGCTGTTCTCATCATTTGCTTGGGTCATGTCTGATGGTGGCTAGCCGGACTTCTAATATCGCTTTTTTCCGTCTTCTTTAGGAAGCGTTGTGAACTGCGCGCACGGAATATGTTTTTCTTTGCTAAAATATAGTTCTCTGTGCTCAAAACTTAAAGTTACACGCTCAGGATGGTGGCACAAATATAACGGCATAAGGGCAGAGCAGAACACGTGGGTGCCCTGAAAGTGTGTCGATGGCATTGTGCGTAATCACCTGTTAATGTGTTTTGTGTTGTTGAAGGGAAATATTATACGAGCCAATAGATTGTTCTGTTCTTTTTCAAATGTCACGTGTTCATGAATGTAATTCAAGAAAAACTCCCCAAACAATGAAAAAGTATTCGATGGGGAGAATAAAGGAAAGGAAGGAAGAAACCTTTAGAGAGACACAGGACGATCCTCCCTGGGACGGACAGACTGTGATGGACGTACAGAATGAACAACGTAAAATATCTATAATACGTTCAAATCATCCGACAGAAATGATTCAAATTCACATATTATCTCCTCATATGCGTTCATGATCATGAAAGCATTCTAAATATATGCAGACAATATTATTTATCGGGTAAGTAAAGACATTTTGCAGCTTGCAATATCATCTACGTAAGAATATCGAGGAGTTTTTCTCGGCATGGCGGTGGAAGGTGTACGATCTCCGGCTCCAGGCTCAGGTACCCCTCATTCAGGCCATGGAGGACGCCTGTGACCAAATTGACGCTGTGGCAGTACAGGGATGGATTCGGCATTCCAGACGGTTCTTCCCACGCTGTCTGGCCAATGAGGATATTGCCTGTGATGTGGATGAGTTTCTCTGGCCGGATCCAGCTAGGCGGAGAGATGATGCATAGTACAGTATTTTCGGGGGGGGTTTAGATCTTTTTTTTGGTACTGGATATGATGTTATGTTTGTCCGATAGCTTACAGTGTTATGCAGTTATGAAAACTGGGACAAGTTTAGTTGTTTTTGTTGTGATTCTCCATGTTTGACTGGTTTGTGTATATGGAGAGAATTAAATAATATTTTCATCAGTCTGCAGCATTGGTCTTGTGTAGTGTTTGGCGAATTTATTGAATATTTGCACTTTCTCTGTGTACTTCACTTACACTACTCTAATCACTGAGAAATAGATTTGCTAAAAGTGTTTTAGGTTTATAACAGCAGTGTGTAAGTGGTACAAACAGAATTCCGTCATATGCAACGTGTGTGTTTCATATGGTAACAAAAGATGGTTTTGTTAAATTAGTGTATAGTTTTTACAAGAGTGTTTCATTTTGCAATGGATCTGAGGTGTTTTGCTCATTGGGTGTGTGGTTGCGCTAATTGTGTGAGTGAAATGAAAAACAAAACAAATCAGTCAAAATTGTGTTTAAGCAATCGAGAAAAACTGTAAATAAGGCTCACATTTCTTATTTTTTGTTTTTGGTTCTAATTGCACGTGCAATTACTCCATTTAAGGGAATGAAAGGATTCTAAATATATGCAGACAATATTATTTCATTTTTTTTGTTCAATTATCGGGTAAGTAAATACATTTTGCAGCTTGCAATATCATCGACGTAAGACCGCACAAGATATTCAACTTCCCTGTTGCAAAATGATGAGCTTTTTCATGTTATCTGTGTCTATAAAAATATATAGCACAAAGAGTTTAAAAACTGCTCATTGCATTGTACATACCAGGTTTTTCAAAACGTTTTGGTAGAACTATGAAAAGTGCACAGTGATATTCTGGTCTGAAATGCCCTCCCCCTCCCCTCTTTGAAGATATTTACTTGGTGGTCCTTTTCTTGCCGTTTTGTCAGAGTCCAGTAAGGTTCCCCATCCACGTCTTACTTAAAAGGGGACAATTGAGGGTTTTGCATGCAAGTTCACGCTTCTTTCCTTTGTTTTATTGCAGCTTCAATGAAGCGAATCGTTAACTGACCATGCAAGAATAGCATTTGACCAGAGTTGTCTGTTTGAGACCCAAACAGAATCCCTATCACTAAAAAACATTTGGCTACAATTTTTTTAAATTATTTATTACTAAATGCTATTCAAATCAGTTGTGGTCTGTGCACAGTGTAGAATGATAATATGTTGTACTGAACGATGTGCTGTTTTCAAGAATTCGTATCCTTTCCTTTAGACTACTTCAACTTGTATTTGTGGAAATATATTACATGCAACATGTGAATCTTGGAGGAAAGATGTCTGATGTATCTGAGTAAATACTTGCACATATGACTCGTCGTCATGCTTATACAGAGACCCGGTATTCCCGGTACTTATTTCCTTGTGTAACACAAAGGCACTGAGTGTTTTAACATCGCGGTGAACTCAAACCCGATGGTGTTTCATCATATAGTTGAATATAATATGGTGGATAGATGCAGATTCTCAAAACTTGTATTACTTCCTCATTGGCCGACTGGATTCGATTTTTTTTTCTGTTTGTTTAAGTGCCTCACACTATAAGAGAACACTTTATGTGTTTATAGCGCCAATTATTAGTCACTCATAGGGTTACGGCGAAAATTACAACTCTGCTGTACCTTTGCAAGTTATACAAGTAAGCATCTGCGTTACGTTTCACATGGACCAATTAAAATCGAGATATTGCTGGACATTTGCGCGGTGACGTCACTACGCCAGCCACGTTGTAAGGCTAATCCCCGCGAAATTCAAAGTCAATATGACGGCGGTGTTCAACGATATCACCGATCTGAGACGAGTTTACACCGCTGCGATCGACGTCTTCACGAGGAAACAGCGGCGGGTGGATTTTACGTACAAATAATCGACTGATCGGTGAGTCAGAAACTAAACTTCGGGGTTAATATTGAAGTGTGGTGCTGACGGTCCGACCGGCGACCGGTACCCGGCGAGGGGGCGGCGCTGACGGTCCGGCGGCGCTAGTCGGACACCTGCGGCGGGCAGGATGCGGCCGCGAGACTGAGACACCTGCCCTCACCAGCGCTGTTGTGGTTTTCATTCAACAGATTCTGTACAACCCGTCATCCAACTGTTCGTCTAACTAACGTACGGCTCCCAGCCTCGGACACTCCTGCACAAGTCGACAAAATAGTCTTTCCCAGGTGGGAGATGACCGTGCAGCCGTGCAGACCGTGCAGTTTACACCGCTGTGATCGACGTCTTCACAAGGAAACTAGTCGGACACCTGCGGCGGGCAGGATGCGGCCGCGAGACTGAGACACCTGCCCTCACCAGCGCTGTTGTGGTTTTCATTCAACAGATTCTGTACAACCCGTCATCCAACTGTTCGTCTAACTAACATCTAACAAGGCATCTGGCCTGGATAGTACAGGTAAATACAAATGATTACACTATTACTAATACGGTAGAACGAATCATCATCAACACCAGCTGAAACTGTAACACTCGTTTGAATACCATTTTCGGAGCGGCCCGAGACGCAATAATGCGTCCGTGCGTCGGACATTTCATTGAACATGTTTAGTTGTGGGGTGGGGTGGGGCCCCCCACCTCCAGGCTGACCAATAGGCCTGCCGCCAGTGGCACAGTCAGACATCAGAACAGGCCGCTGTCTAGGACCCCTAGCTGACAAGAGGCGTCCCACCCACCACCTTGCCTACAGGCCAACTAGGAGCCACAGCCCGCGCCGACGTCCAATGTACCACACTGCCGTCATGGCAGGCGCCCTAGGTCCAAGGAACGCTTGGCTACTGCTGTTTGGAAATTCTCGAGCTAGACATCTATATCTCGACCAGGAGTTTCACTCATGGTTGGCACGGTTTGCCGATTTTTCTGGCTCGGGTTCTTTTTTTTTTTTTGATGTCCATGGCTTGGTAACGTCCCATACATTGTTTTCCAACGTTTTTAGTCGTATTAAATTGTTTATTTTTCACGTTATTGGGTCTGAAATGGACCAAACGCTGCCCACATTGCATTGTGGGTAATGACGTTTTCCCTATAACTAGCGGCGATATGTCACTTACTGACCTCACCAAACGTCACTGGAACGCGGAACGTGGTGTCAGGAGAATAAGGTCATTCAGAGTTCACCTGACCTGACCTGACCTCCCCGAACGTTACTGACGTGTTTTGTGTTGTTGAAGGGGAAATACGAGCCAATAGATTGTTCTGTTAATTTTGAAATGTCACGTGTTCACGAATGTAATTCTCATCGATGCCTGATTGTACAATTCGCTTTTACATCGAATATGACAAGAGGATGGAGAACAGTCATTTTATTGATTATTGTAAGGTTATTACGTGAGTAATAAAACACATGTTTTATATTGGAGAATTGGAATCAGAAGTAATAACAATGTCAAATTTTTATTATTCAGACTCGATCTGTAAATTATGCAATTTTTTTTTTAATAAATGTTGTAATGCCCAGTCGGAATCGACCTCACAACCCTTGTGTCAGTGTTTCCAACCTGCGTTTTGAAGCATTACCTTGACTGAAGACTAAAAAAAAAAGATGTCTTTCGACCTGTGTCTGTGTCTCCCTCGAAGACTTTCACACGATTGGCTGAACAGGTGCTGGCAGCTAATAAAAAGGACCTGGATCTTCTCCGGATGTCTGTCAATGACGAGATTAATCTTGCCGCTCTGGAGGAAGAGGAAGGACTCTGTGACAGCGAGGCGGCCGACCGAGGAAAAGGCTGCTGGTGTTAGAGAGACAATTCAGATCTGATCGTCTGTTACCACTGGACACTTCGCACACTAGGCAAAACGTTTCTTTTTGTCGTTAGTTGAAATAAAGTGAAAACATTGAGCTGCAGCCACCGCCTTTTCTATTGGTCAATGCGTTAGATGTAGTGTGAGAACTCGGCCACAAGAGGGTGCTACGTGCATTGTGAAAAGAGCTCACACACTGGAGCGTCGTTCTGTTAAAAAATGCTCACGTTTCTTATTTTTGTTTTTTTTTGTTCTAATTGCACGTTCAATTACTCCATTTAAGGAAATGAAAGGATTCTAAATATATCCAGACAATATTATTTATCGGGTAAGTAAATACATTTTGCAGCTTGCAATATCATCTACGTAAGACCGCACAAGATATTCAACTTTCCTGTTGCAAGATGATGAGCTTTTTCATGTTATCTGTGTCTATGAAAATATATAGCACAACGAGTTTAAAAACTGCTCATTGCATTGTACATACCAGGTTTTTCAAAACATTATATGTTTGTAGAACTATGAAGGTATTGGGTATTCATTTAATGTACTATAGGGTGGTATCTAAAAAAAAGTGCACAGTGATATTCTGGTCTGAAATGCCCTCCTTTCCCTTTGAAGACATTTACTTGGTGGTCCTTTTCTTGCCGTTTTGTCAGAGTCCAGTAAGGTTCCCCATCCACCTCTTACTTAAAAGGGGACAATTGAGGGTTTTGCATGCAAGTTCACGCTTCTTTCCTTTGTTTTATTGCAGCTTCAATGAAGCGAATCGTTAACTGACCATACAAGAATAGCATTTGACCAGAGTTGTCTGTTTGAGACCTAAACAGAATCCCTATCACTAAAAAACATTTGGCTACAATTTTTTTAAATTATTTATTACTAAATGCTATTCAAATCAGTTGTGGTCTGTGCACAGTGTAGAATGATAATATGTTGTACTGAACGATGTGCTGTTTTCAAGAATTCGTATCCTTTCCTTTAGACTACTTCAACTTGTATTTGTGGAAATATATTACATGCAACATGTGAATCTTGGAGGAAAGATGTCTGATGTATCTGAGTAAATACTTGCACATATGACTCGTCGTCATGCTTATACAGAGACCCGGTATTCCCGGTACTTATTTCCTTGTGTAACACAAAGGCACTGAGTGTTTTAACATCGCGGTGAACTCAAACCCGATGGTGTTTCATCATATAGTTGAATATAATATGGTGGATAGATGCAGATTCTCAAAACTTGTATTACTTCCTCATTGGCCGACTGGATTCGATTTTTTTTTCTGTTTGTTTAAGTGCCTCACACTATAAGAGAACACTTTATGTGTTTATAGCGCCAATTATTAGTCACTCATAGGGTTACGGCGAAAATTACAACTCTGCTGTACCTTTGCAAGTTATACAAGTAAGCATCTGCCTTACGTTTCACATGGACCAATTAAAATCGAGATATTGCTGGACATTTGCGCGGTGACGTCACTACGCCAGCCACGTTGTAAGGCTAATCCCCGCGAAATTCAAAGTCGATATGACGGCGGTGTTCAACGATATCACCGATCTGAGACGAGTTTACACCGCTGCGATCGACGTCTTCACGAGGAAACAGCGGCGGGTGGATTTTACGTACAAATAATCGACTGATCGGTGAGTCAGAAACTAAACTTCGGGGTTAATATTGAAGTGTGGTGCTGACGGTCCGACCGGCGACCGGTACCCGGCGAGGGGGCGGCGCTGACGGTCTGGCTGGATGCATGTCACAGCCGCCTGGTGGTGCTGGACAGCGAGGTGCAGGATCATCCGGATCAAGCCCACCTACTGATGGACCAACTCAACCGACCGCTGCAGCTGTATCAAAACGCAGCGTAAATGGTGGTCCTACTACAAGCTGTAAGAATCTTGAGATCTAGTTCTAAACATCACCGCCCCCACCCCATTGCATTGTGGGTAATGACGTGTCCACTATAATTAGCGGCGATATGACACTTACTGACCTCACCAAACGTCACTGGGACGTTTAGTTATAGGCCCCGAGTCCAAACATAAGGCATGTGGAAGTCGGCTGACCAGCTCGCGGCCAGCCTCCTGGCCCTGCAGCCAGGAGGCTGTCGCGAGCTGGTCTGGCCGCAAAGATTCGGTCCCAAATTGAAGATTCGGTGTGTGAGTGCCAAAATTCAAAATTGGGTTGCCAAATTTCTGAGATTTGGGTGAGAGCCAAATTTCGGTGGGTGGTGGGAGGGCAAATATGTTTAATGAAATAATCAATCCCAAATTCCACTAGTGAACACGTTCATTTCTTATTCTCATATGAATAGGATTACACTTTTGTTCATTTTCGTCATTACCCACAATGCAATGGGGGCAAACCGTGACTGAAACCAAAAATCTTCAAATCAAAAGAAAACCTTTTGTACTATATCAATTACTTAAAACCTTGTACATGTACTTATGACAATTCTCAAAAATGTCATGGCAGTGTTCCCTGTCAATCGCATGAATAGTGAACAGGTGATTCACTCTAAGGGCCACGTGAAATATTACATGGAGGCAATGGAGAAAAGAGAATCAATTAATTTCTTAATTGTTCTTGCCTAGTGAGAAACATGTCAAATATTCTACAGTCAAAATGTCTGAATGCCATGAAGCCATACAAGTCATTTTCCTTATACCGCAGCATTTGACCAACATTATTTCTTATCATCAGGGCCCTTTGACCTCTTGGGCCTAACCGTTCCATTTTGGATGGAAGTGTGACAAATAAACCACAATTAATGAAAACAAACGTCTGTATTCATAAACTCTCATTACGTACTGCTTAATAAACACGTGTTCCCTCTTCCCTAAAATAAATATAACAAGATTATGCAACAATGGTTGCAAATGAACCATAAAAATCACATAAAATGAACTGCATTAAATACATCTGTACTAACCTGGCTAAATAAAATAAACAGTTTAATATAATTAAATAAATGGTTAAAATACACGTATTCTGCCACCAAATGTTGGAGACTTTTGAGAAAAATCAAATTGGATTTACAATTTGGTACAACTCGTAATGTTGTGTTTAACTCAGCTCTGGACTGATCTCTCTAAGTTCACATGACCGTATAGTACCTGTTTATTCAACTTAGCAATGTAAGTTTGCTGGCTTGGCCGCCTAGCTGACCGACTGGCAAGGTGGTGGGTCGGGCGCCGGCCGGTCAGCTAGGTGGCTGGGTGAAGCCAAATATGTTCAATGAAATGACCAATCCCCAAACCTTGTACGTTGTACACGCATTTAGGAGATCGTCAACGCGTGACCATTGAAAAATAACACAGCAATCTAGTGGCTCGTATTTCCCGTCAATAACACAAAACACATAAACAGTGAACAGGTAATTTTACTACATCCACAATATATACAAAAAGTGCAATATTAAATGAAATTACATTGATGCAATAGAAATAGAAATATATGCAGACAAAAGCATTCTGCGTCTTTCTTTGAACCGACACAACGAATCGATAATGAAATTCGTTGCCAACGCTTTCAATAATCAAATTTTAGCAATTTCAGCGATTCTTGTTCTCTTTAAGGATTGTGTGTTGTCAGATATTAAAACAACCGTTGTAATTGTCCAGTTTGTCCAGTCCAACAAGTCAGATGAGGTGGACAAGAAGCAGGTGGCCACGGAGCAAGGAGTCAAGGTGGGTTAGTCTCATAATGGATTAATAATAAAAATTATACTTTATAATTATACGTTGTACATATGGCTTTTCTAGATATCCAAAGACACTTTACATAGGGCCTTCCTTGACACGGTTTAAAAATAATGTTTTAACATTTATTATGATGCTGGTTTTTCTGTGAGAAATTGGTTCACTGAGCACTCGAAGCCATTTGGGTTCCGTGAGAAAACTGGCTCAAATTTGATCATCTACGTAAGACCGCACAAGATATTCAACTTTCCTGTTGCAAGATGATGAGCTTTTTCATGTTATCTGCACAACGAGTTTAAAAACTGCTCATTGCATTGTACATACCAGGTTTTTCAAAACATTATATGTTTGTAGAACTATGAAGGTATTGGGTATTCATTTAATGTACTATAGGGTGGTATCTAAAAAAAAGTGCACAGTGATATTCTGGTCTGAAATGCCCTCCTTTCCCTTTGAAGACATTTACTTGGTGGTCCTTTTCTTGCCGTTTTGTCAGAGTCCAGTAAGGTTCCCCATCCACCTCTTACTTAAAAGGGGACAATTGAGGGTTTTGCATGCAAGTTCACGCTTCTTTCCTTTGTTTTATTGCAGCTTCAATGAAGCGAATCGTTAACTGACCATACAAGAATAGCATTTGACCAGAGTTGTCTGTTTGAGACCTAAACAGAATCCCTATCACTAAAAAACATTTGGCTACAATTTTTTTAAATTATTTATTACTAAATGCTATTCAAATCAGTTGTGGTCTGTGCACAGTGTAGAATGATAATATGTTGTACTGAACGATGTGCTGTTTTCAAGAATTCGTATCCTTTCCTTTAGACTACTTCAACTTGTATTTGTGGAAATATATTACATGCAACATGTGAATCTTGGAGGAAAGATGTCTGATGTATCTGAGTAAATACTTGCACATATGACTCGTCGTCATGCTTATACAGAGACCCGGTATTCCCGGTACTTATTTCCTTGTGTAACACAAAGGCACTGAGTGTTTTAACATCGCGGTGAACTCAAACCCGATGGTGTTTCATCATATAGTTGAATATAATATGGTGGATAGATGCAGATTCTCAAAACTTGTATTACTTCCTCATTGGCCGACTGGATTCGATTTTTTTTTTCTGTTTGTTTAAGTGCCTCACACTATAAGAGAACACTTTATGTGTTTATAGCGCCAATTATTAGTCACTCATAGGGTTACGGCGAAAATTACAACTCTGCTGTACCTTTGCAAGTTATACAAGTAAGCATCTGCGTTACGTTTCACATGGACCAATTAAAATCGAGATATTGCTGGACATTTGCGCGGTGACGTCACTACGCCAGCCACGTTGTAAGGCTAATCCCCGCGAAATTCAAAGTCAATATGACGGCGGTGTTCAACGATATCAC